GTTAGGACTGCAGAAAAAATAACTGCAACCATCCTGCCTTCCATTGTATACTCACGAGCTGAAAAGAAGGCTGTGAAAATATCTACAGACCAGAGGTGGGTTTCAGCAGGTTCTGACCAGTTCTGGAGAACCGGTAGTGGAAATTTTGAGTAGTTCGGAGAACGGGTAGTAAAAATTCTGACTGGCCCCACCCCCATCTATTCTCTGCCTCCCAAGTCCCAGCTGATCGGGTGGGAATGGGGATTTTGCAGTAACCTTCCCCTGGATTGGGGAGAGAATGGAGATTTTACAATATCCTTCCCTTACCACGCCCACCAAGCCACACCCACCAAGCCATGCCACGCCCACCAAACCACAGCCACAGAACCAGTAGTAAAAAAATTTGAAACCCACCACTGCTACAGACCCCTCACATCCTGAACATGAACTGTTTCAACTCCTTCCCTCGAGACAATGCTAAACAACCAGACAGTTCCCCCCCACATGCTATCACTTTGCTAAACAATTAATTCCCACAACACTGTCTTATATCCTGGGGTGTCAAACTACCTAGTAGGGCTGTATTACTATTACTCTTATCCTTCTCATCTTTCCTATTACCTATTTCCTTAGCTTCTTATGACTATAACTTTGCTGTTTGTATCTCATGATTTATGTTGATTTGCTTTCAAAATGTAATTTTTTTTAAAGGAAGGTTGTGTTAAAAGCATGCAGTTTAATACCTTTTGTAGAGATATACCACATGTTTATTTACATAAATAATTGTATATCCATATTTCTTAATATAAAAGTCAAATGCATACTAAATGCATCTTTAATATAAAATATGTCCAAAAATATCATCTGAACTCAGAAGGCATTTCAAACCTTGAACTGATATGCTAAAGGACACAAATGGATGGATACTAATAAACGAATCAAAGAAGATCAAACAAAGTTGGAAGGAATATACTGAAGTACTTCACAGTAAAGATGCCAACATCCATGATAACATAGAAGTCATTCCCTACTTACAAGAACTTCTAGTACTACACTACTAGCTCAAAACTCCAGTCATTACCAACTTGGAAGCCTGTAAGAACGATGGAATACCTACTTAAAAGAATAGAGTAGAGTAGAGTAGAGTAGAGTAGAGTAGAGTAGAGTAGAGTAGAACAGAACAGAACAGAACAGAACAGAGCAGAATACTTTATTGGAGAAGTATGATTGGACACACATGGAATTTGTCTCCGGTGCATAAGCTATCAGTGTACATACAGACAATAAGGTAATATAATCAGTGTACATACAAATATACAAACAGTATGTACACTCAAACAACAAGTGTACATACAAACAGCAGGTAATATAAAATACAAATAAGAGAAGGTAGTAGAAAAGATGAGTAGAATAATAGTAATATAGCCCTACTACAGGGGTAAATATTCTTAGACATAAGACAGTACTGTGATAATTAGGTGTTTAGCAGAGTGATGTCTTTGTGTCTAGTTGCTTTGGCAAGCAACAAAAGAAAAAGCAGCAAAGTTTCTAGCTGAACTATGGCAGTAAATTTGGAGAATAACACAGTGACCAACTGATTAGAGGAGATCAATCTACAGAGTAATACGGAGAGAGAGGGGAGAGGAGGGAGGAAGGGAGAGAGGGAGGGAGAGAGAGAGAGAGAGAGAGAGAGAGAGAGAGAGAGAGAGAGAGAGAGAGAGAGAGAGCGACAGAGACTTAACACAGTGTGCAAACTATTATACAATATTCTTGATTTCACAAGCTTGCAAAATAATGCTTTGGATCATCCAATACAGATTACAGCGCTGCATCGAAAAAGAGAGGCCAGATGTTTAAGCTGGCTTTAGAAAAAAGAAAATGAGATTTTATTGCTTATGCATGTGGGGTAATTGAGAAAGCCAAAGAATGTGAAAAAGTCAGTATACATTTCATTGATTATAGAAAGGCCTTCAATGGAGTCAATCATGTCAGTGTGCTCAGAAAAATGGGAATCCAAGAACATCTCATTGTCCTCAACTGGTTCTAGGTCAGCAAAGGAGTCAGCAAATAAGTGCTTCCCTTATGTATTTAACCTATATGATATATGTATGTAAACACGCACACACACTCTCACACACACATTAAGGGAAGACACTACTCTGATAGCCAAAATTGCAAAGGATCTGCAAGTTCTAGTAATAAAAAGTTATTAAAATAAAAGAAAACTAAACTAATTACAATAGGTATGGCAACAGCCTTAGAATGGACAATTAAGGTACTGAAATAGCTTCTAGGATCAACCATGAAGAATAAAAGAAAAAGGTTCAAGAAGTATTGATGCTTTTGAACTTTGGTATTGTAGAGGACTCCTGAGAATATGAAGATAACGAACAAAAGGACCCTCAAGCAAATCCATCCAGAGTCCTCACTTATCCTACTTTGGAAACATAGTGAACCATAGTGAACCATAGTGAACCATAGTGAGAAAACCTGGCTGCTAGGGAAAGCTCTAATGCTGAGTAAAGTGGAAGGAAAGAGAAGAGGAGAAGGATCAGCAGTATGGTGGATTGATTCAGTTACAGTACTGATGAATGCATCATTGGATGACCTGATAGAACAGGTTAGGGAAGATTATCAAGGAGAAAATCTATCAGCGGGATCACTAAAAGTCAACACCAACTAGATGGCACATATTCTATCAAACAAAACCTAAATTTTTGCATGGTTTTAAAATTGCTTACTTTTCCATACCATCCAAGGCAATTAACAGCAATATCATTCTATAAAAGACTGTTAGATATTTTCAGATGTGATGTCAAGGACACTGTCCTGTATATGTTGTATTGCATTCTACTGCATTTGTAGCACTAAACCACTCTATAATTATTAAGAAAATTGGTGGAATATTATCAAAAATTCAACAGTTCAGGAAGCTATGTTATCATCATCAACACGTTCTCAGCACACCTACTGTAAAAAGGGTTACAAAGGAAAAGCAAATGAAAATCTTATTCTGAAAACTATGTCTATGTGATGCTATTGTTTTGAAAATACAGTAGGAATCTCAGAAAGAAAAAGCTGATGAGCACAGAGAGAATGAGGAATGTAGTGATAATGTAATTTTTTTTAATGATAGTATATGCATTGCAAAATTCCTATTAGAAAGTTTAGCCCCGGCCAAATAATAAAAATATGTTTTATGAGAATCTGAGATTGCCTGCAGTCGCCACCAGCTTGCATTGTTAAATGTAATGGAAGGTAAATCTGCCTCCTCCCCTATCTTGAAGGCTGAAGCCTTGAACATCTGTTAAAACCAAACAAGGATATGAGCAATTTGAGGTTAGGTAGGGACCAATATGATTGGAAGCAAGGATATGGGTGCAGATTGACTCAATGTTTGAATGATTGAGAGAAATGCACGCATTATGCAATTAAAATCCTGTTTCATTGCTGTTTTCTAGATCAGCACAATCACTCCGTCCTGAGTGGTTTCCAAACTACTGATCACAGAAGGGATATGACATTTGCAATTGGAATAGCTGCACTATGTCTAGGCCTCTTAAAACCCTGAAATGTTTTCCTGAAAGACAGAAACCGCAAAAATAACAAATAACTATCTACAAATTAGCTTGACTTCTTAGGACAGATTTAGGCAGGTGCTTCCTAATTAAGGAAAATTCCTCTTTCACATTTGCTGTGTCTAGCACATAGATGAAAAAGAAATGATTGATTCCTAAAGCAACCAAACTGCATTGTTTTTCTTATAAGTACATCACAAATGGCAAATTAGATGTAGCACATATATGGAATTACTCAATGTTACATTTAGTTCCTCTTAGGCCATTAGTTGTTTTTTCTTCCAGGTCAAGATATATTAATTCAATTAAAAAAAAGAAAAAAGCACAGAGCAATTACAAGACTTGTCCACAAAGTAACATTCCTCTGCAAAAATTAATTGATCCTAAAGATTCATGGAAGCTATTGGCTCCAACATAACCTCTGCAGATAGTCAAGAGAAAGTAATTTTACTAGTTTCCCTTCAGGTCCGTTCTTCAATGCCACCTAAGAGAAACTCCAATTCTCTAGAGAGGATTTTATGGAGATACAAAATAATAATTAACAAAAAGGATTGGAGACCAACCAGTATCAGATATCATGATCAAAATTCTGGATCATGATTGAACTCTTGATCCAACCTACAGTGTACACTTCTCTAAGATTGAGGGGTTTAGATTGAAAAAGTATGGAGAAGTGCTATAAAATCCCATAGAGATCATGAATATATAAGTACAAAATGCCATAGATTAAAGTTAGATGATTATTTTTCCAGCTACAACAAGGATGAGGCAAGATGTAAATCTCATTATTAGCAAAGCTGGAAAAAGACATATATACTGTAGTTTACATGATGACCATACATGATGAGTGTCATTGGATAATGCTAAAGTATAAACGGGTAATTCATAATTGTTATAAACTGAACAACACTAGTTTACAGGGGAAAAAAATAACTTTTACTTTCTAAAAATGCTAATGTATAATTCAAGCGGTTAATTAGTATAATTAATTAATTACACTAATTAATGGAATAATATGGTAGTTTATTAATTATTTGGGAGATTTTCAGTATGATGGCAAATTCTATAAGTAGTAGCACAAACATTATCTTTATATAAAATGCAAACTTGATTGCAAAGCATACCAGAAGCCTTGGTTGACAGAGTCAAGTTCCTTGGTGATCAGTAACTGAAGTTGTTGTTGTTTTTTATATTTACTGTATAAATAGCCTCTCTTTTTACCTTTATATGAAAATAATTATAACAGTCGAATGGACATTGTAGCAATAACCCAATTTAAAAATGATTCTGATTGAGCCTATCATGTCCACTAAGTAGCCATAGCATTAACTATACTGAAAAATAGAATAGGTTTCTTTATTTAGGAGAAGCCAATGGGCTTCTATTAAACTATAAGAAGAAGGGTTTTTAAAGGTCCAAGCCAATATGCTATGCACTACTTACCTTCAAAAGTCAAATAAAACTTTCCTCTGTCAAACCAGACGAGAGAAGGCTGTTCATTTTCTGTATGGCCGGGAGTTGAAGCGGAATGGGAAAGGTTAAGGAGAGGAGAGAGAAGGACATAAGTGTGAGTCAGAAAGGCAGGTTATTAATCTCACTACAGGGAAAGAGGAGGTGCTGCAAGTTGTTAATGTGCAAGGAAAATTGGGGAGGATTTTAATCGACAACGGTCTTGTTTTGTTTTGGGAAGAAACAAAATAAGCAAATATGGAATCCTACTAGATGGGGATAACTGTGAACTTCTGAAAAAGTGATTGAGATTTTTTTCTCTCTCTCTTCTTTAATGCTATTTTATTTTTTCTTGGTGGGGTATAATATCAATGCCTGGTATCAGTTTAATATAGTTTAATTCCAATAGCTTTGTGTGGAATTTGCCATTTACGTGTCTTTTCCCTTTGAAAGATGAAGCTGAAATCTTGCAAAGTTGTTCGAGCATGAAACATTTAAAAGTAGAGAACCAAATAATGCTACAATTATGACTTTAAACAATCATGAATCAAGGGGAGGCCTGAAAAAGTTTCTGGAGTCACATGCACTATTCGTAAAGGCAACATACACTGTAAATCTGATATAATGGATCTTCAAAATTGATAGCCTTCCCAAGGGGACGTTAATATCTGGCTCAGAGTTTATCCAAGTAGCAATGCTTAATTAATAAACTAGTGGACAGAATTTCTGTAATGCTTGTTAAGTGCAGAATTTTAGCCATCCTTTTTACTTTGTTAAAATTCCAAACAAAGAAGCTTTTAACATTACTTGTCAGCAATTAGAAGTTTCTTTGACTTTCATTACTTAAGGCTTCAAGCGACATGCCCAACAATTGGAATTACATGATGAACCTCTATTACTGAAGTTAATGCACACCTAATTCTGAAATTCCTGGAAACAATATATGTATCCATATAGGCATGTATGTATGTATGCATGGATGTCTTTCTGTCTTAGGCTTGGAAGAACAACATATATAATTAATTTTTTGTGCATAATAGTCCTTAGTAAATTTTGTTATTCCTGCATCAAAGCATCAAACATTATCTCGCCACTCAGAAACTCATTCGAGCATTCAGAACACTGCATTTTTATGTGCAACATGAGTTCCTCTATATCAGCTATGCATTTAATGCGTTTGACTCTCATAGCAGTGAGAGTGGTAGTGAAGAAAGCATTTAAAAAACACACAACTCTGCTTGTACGGTACCTGCAGATGTTTCACAGTGCCTTGCAAACATGGACAATTTGTCATTATAAGTATCATCTTCCGAAACCCACAAACAAAAGAAACGCAAAAGAAAAATAATGAAAACACAAATTCTAAATGAAAACCAAGAGGTTCCTTATTAACCAAATCCACAAATATTACAATGAAAAAAGTTTTACATAGAAATGGTGGACACATCTCTTTTATTATCAAAGTCATGTTCAATACTATCACTAACACAAAAACAAATATAAGAAAAGGCAAATGAATGAACAAAAGCTAAGCGGTATTCTTTTGGGCAAAGTATAAATGTACGGAATAAATCTCAGAAACTAAAAGAACAATGTGTGATAAAATAACGTAAGACTGAGAAGCATGAAATCTCTCTGCTGCTAAGCATTATTCTTTATTTCAAATGAAAGTGTGGGCAACCACTTCATTTTTTTTTACATTCATAGATTTAAAATCTTGGTCTTCCCACCTCCTCCTGCGTATTGCAATTATACCTGTGGAAGTGTTATTGTTTTTTAATCCAAAACCTTAATGGATTTCTCTGTTTTCAAGTATATTTCATTCAATCTTTCTTGCAATATGAAGATTTTTCCCAATGTATACCCCCCCCCATCTGTTTTGCTGTAAATGGGAGTAGCTTGCATATTTTGTGATCCAGCTGTGATGAAGACCCAGCAAGAAAGAGTCCTGCTCCAAGGGACAAGTTCCTAGCATGTATTTTGAAATCTATATTGATTGTTCAAATGAAAGGCCCAAACTAATCTTTGTACAACCAAGATTGGTTCAACTGTAATAGCCACTTCATCCCCACAATAGAAACTGTTCATCAAGTTTTTGACTTCAGCTAGAAATTATTACATGCTAAGCCATTCAGAATATTCAGCACACCTTGTGACATATGCAGTTGGCCAAGCTCATTCCACCTCTTTCAATAACCAACTACATTACCAATTTCGACAGGCTTTTGGAGTATATGATGCTTTTGAACAGATATGGTAAGTAAACACTCTTGTTTTTAGAAGACTAAATTCCATTTATATTCTTCCAAAGCCAATACATTCTGAAACATTCCCCTGGTGTGTATTTTTCCCCCTCATCTTGTAAGAAAAATTTAAGGGAGATTGTTAAAATTAGGGTACCTGTGGGAAATACGGTCCTTCCCTCCGTCCCTGCTCAGCGAGAGCATGGGGAGAATACAGAATTTGACATTTTAATAATTGTTTTCTTCATTTAGAACAATGAAACAAATTTTTGAGCACAGCCACAGACATCCAACAATATCAAAAGGACAAAACAGCTTGCTTTAATACAAGAAAAACAATTCTTGCGTTCAGTAACACATTAAAAATAGTCTTAAAAATGGTTTGCCAAGAATGTGACCATTACTATGGCTCTCTGTAGTACAGAAATACAGATTCAACAAATTTCAAATATAGAAATTAAGAATTAAAATTGCATTGTTATATATATATATATATATATATATATATATATATATATATATATAGTTTTAGTTATTTTAATATTCTAAGCATAAATAATACTTAGCCATTTATTTGTAACACATAAATAATTATTAAATATAACAATGATAAAATAAGAGCCAATATGATTTCTTAGCCATTTTTCTTTCAGAATTCTCATAATCATTTTGTACTACAGCCTGTCTATATCCCATTATATATTTAACAAAATCTCCAAGACCATCAATCTACTGTAAATACAGCTGGTATATTTTGGTAATTTTAATTTCTATAGAAGGTTTCATTAAGGATATCTGAGCAGTTCCCCTAAATAAAGTAATTATTCTAAGGTAAATTATATATGGTTAATTAAGCATGCTTTTGTTTTATCTTTATAGTTTTTACAAATCAGTCTGCAAGATTTGCAACTGTAATTTCTGAAATACCCTTGCTGTTTGAAGATTTGATGCATGCTCCTTAAACACTGTATTGAATAAATTCAGTTTTCTATAAAATGCACTAATACCACTCAGCTTCACGTACAATACAAACTTTTGAGTCACTGATGACACAGCCTACTAAGAGACCACATTTTACAATATTATAGCATTAAGTAAGGTGCTATTCATTCCACTGATTGATATACACTGATAAAACGTTCACAGTTCAATTGACCAACAGCAAATAAAAACAGAGATAAATAATGAATTTGCAAAGAAGTCAGAAAAGTGCCTCAGACCCTCTTCCCAATTTCACATTATGCATAATAGGCAATGAAATTGAATTTAGATTTTTCAGAAAGGCAACAAAGATTTTGAAGCACTTGATTAAATGTTGAACAACTTATTAGTTGAATGCATGCTCTAGCCAAAAGGAAATTCATTTCCTAATAACAAAAGCAATTACAATAACATAAGTGTTAAAAGATGCAAAACTTTCTGTAAAGGGTAAGAAATCAGAGTGTTCAGCGTATAAAGAAAAATACAATCATATCAATTGATTCTGATTTCTCATATTGTCAACTTTGATTTATTTTGAAAGAATATTCAAATTGTTGCCAGTCTGACTTCAATCAGAATAATTACCCTGTTTACCCAAAATAAGAAATCCCCTGATAATAAGCCCAATTGGGCTTTTGAGCGCATGGCAATAAGGCCAAACGCTTATTTCAGGGTTCAAAAAAATATAAGACAGGGTCTTATTTTCAGGAAAACACAGTAGGTAGAAAATCAAAATGCCTTTTCTGTCCACATAGACTAGAAAAGAGTTGAGAGAATATTGACATAAGAGGGGCATAACAGAAATGGTGATAAAGCAGAGTTTGCATTAATAGTAGAAGGAGACCAACTATGTAAAATAACAGCAAAGAAAAGGATGTAGCCTAGCAATAAATGAGAATTAAATGCCACAAAATTGATGCATAAAAGGGCACAAATACTGATGAAAAAGAAGCAGATCAAAGAGCAAATCTGAAATCTGCAGCAGAATGAACTGTATCTGACAAAAGAATTTTTTAAAATAAAGTTATGCAACTGAAACTGAGGGTGGCAGTGGGAATCACAATATATGATTCAAGAAGATGAGAATGAAAACAAAAGTGAAAGAAGCCGCAAAGAAAAGGGCAGGAAGAACAAGAAAGACTAAAGAAACAACGAAACAAAAGGAAAGAGTAAATACAGAATTTATGATTCTAACAATGCAGTTTCTTTAGGGAGGAATAATATTTTAAGTTTTTTTTTCACATTTCAAATTCTTAGAAGGTTCATATCAAATATTTTTAGATACTCTTAAAGTTTTATTGTTATTTATTTTCTGCAGTTCAATTTTTTTTTTAAAAAACTATATCTTGTTCATAGCACTAGTTTGACAATGTCAATCTGTAGCTAGTTCCTGCTTTTTCTACTCACAATTGCATTTCTGGAATATTGCATGTATTTAGCATAAGTATATTTAATTTAGAAATGATTCCTACAACTATCAAATGGTCAGACTGCTGTTCTTCTTTACAGACTCTTGAGCAAGTATAAGCTTGACCCATTCCAGATGTTTTCAACTGGAATGGTACTATAGTTGTTTGCTATTAAAACTACAGTAATCAAGGCAGAGGAGAAATAAACTTAAAAAAAATATCTAGAAGGCACCAAGCTATCTACCTTTAGTCTTTCCCAAACAAGCTCACTGCTGATGAATTGCTGTTTTACTTAGATTGGGCATCCTCCACCTGTGGTCATGATCTACAAAAATGAGGAATTTCTCTCTGCAGGCAGCAAATAATGGCAATCCACATCTTATCTTTAACTGGGCACCCCATGTGGCCATAAGAGGAAATGCCTGACAATTCACCACCTCCCAATTTCTACATTCCCAATAACATCACAGGGTTGAAGGGCATGATTAAAAAGATCAAATTCCAGAAATAGTCTGCCAAGGTATGTGCCAGCATGATGACAAGATGACTGGGCTGATGGTCTGAGCTTCGAGCTTGGCAATTTTGTTGCAAACTTTTCGTTAGCATTTGAGGTGACGTCGTCAGTGCGCTTTGAATTGTGCTCGTCTGTGCACAATTCATACGAGCACAATTCAAAGCGCACTGAAGACGTCTCCTCGAATGGTGACGAAACGTTTGCAACCAAATTGCCAAGCTCGGAGCTCAGACCAACAGCCCAACTACCAACCCGAGCTGCTTATATTCAAATACATTTCAGATGACTCCTTTTTTGGGGGGGAGGGGGAGGATTTCTTTGATGATGGACACTAAGGGACAAGGAAGATGCTCTTGGATACTGGCCATCATTGTTTAAAAATTTATTTATATTCCACCTGTATTATTTTTTACAAATAACTCAAGGTGGTGAACATATCAACACACCTTTGTCCTCCTATATTGATTAGAAAGGTTGTGTTCCGGTATGCAGTTAGTTTTCTGCCAATGCCATAGACGTGTAGCAGAGAGGAGCTTATAATAGCAATAGCACTTAGATTTATAAACCACTTCACAGTGCTTTACAGCACACTTTGGGCAGTTTACAATGTCAACACATTGTCCCCAATAATCTGGGTCCTCATTTTACTGACCTCGGAAGGATGGAAGGCTGAGTCAACCTTCAGCCCGGTCAGGATCGAACTCCAGGCTGTGGGGAGAGTTTGTTTGCAATACTGCATTTTAACCACTATGCCACCAATGGTTAGACGCAGCAGCCCTTTCACATTCTGTTTCCTTTGAAATGTAAAATTAGAATACTTGGGTGATGCAAAGCTAGCTTCCCTTTCTTTCTTCCTTTGGTCTCTATTAAATTGCCAAGATATTAAGGGATATACATGACAATTCTATACACATACATCTTCTGCATAGCTTATCAGAAAGCACATACTTCAATTTAATTTAGCACAAAGCAGTAGTTTAAAACTATGTTGGTTTTAACTAAGAACTTTTTAATGTAAAAATCTGACATTGCATGAGATCTATTTCTTTCTTGCTCCAATTCCTTTTTGGAAAAAGGCACAGTTAAAGATGTAATTTTCTGTCCCAATGTATGTTAGTTAGGAGTCTGTTCTGTCTGTATAATTTAGGAAAAAAATGAGTGTGTGTCCAGAATATGAATGTTTTCTCCTTTAGATACTACTATCATATATAATCTGTATAATACTTTTTGTAATCTATAAGCGTTCCCCAAACTTTCTGGTGCCAGGGAGCAGTTTCGGAAGAAAAATTATCTTCCTGGAAACAGGGAGAAGGATGCTTTCATGCGCAACCTAGATCCTGCGCATGCACAGATGAACCTTCCCTCGCTTGCTCCAAAACTTCCTAACAGGCTGCGGACCGGCACTGGCCCACGGCCTGGGGATTGGGGACCCCTGATCCACAAGATCTTACTATTACGTATATAAAGATATGTAAAAAATTTAGTGGTCTAAAGAGAATCACAGCTGCAATTCTGTGTTATGATTTTTCCCTGTTTTTTTTTCTCTTTCCATGCAGCATGATGATGACAACGACACAAAGAAAACATAACCGAAATAAAAAATGTCAAAAACCAAAGGATTTAAACCATTCTGCTAACAGAAACTATTGTTCAAAAGAATAAAAAAAGTTGTTACCAATTGTAGGAGTAGTAGCTGCGCTCAAGGAATTGGTGGATGAAATAGAAGAGGTGCTTTCGGCACGAGCTAAAGGTGCTATTGGAGGAGGACTAGATGAGTGAATTGGAGGGCTGAAAGGTCTGGACTATAGATAAACACAAAGAACATTAAAAATACACACAATAATCACTTAATAAACCCACTCAGTACTCAAAAATATTCATAACTCTACATAGTCTTAAATTTGGGGATAAAGTGAGGATTAATCCATAAATATCAAATAGATACTTACTCTGATTTCTCAGCAGCCATTTCCTGACTACAATTGATTGCAAGTTTCATCTTTATATTAATTAATAATTAATATAATCTTTGATTGGCCAGCTTCCTCTCTTCATCCAAGAAGAGTGTGATGCCAAAGATATGGGCCACTTTTGAATTTTGTTTTGTTTTGTTTTGAAGGCTTTGAAGAATCAAAATGGAATCTTTCCTTTCTTAAGAGGCAAAACCATCCATTCATTTTTATAAATCCCCAAACCAACCCCAAAACCATGTATGATTTTATCACATTTGAAAGGTCAATAGCTGACAAAAGTTACATACTCCAACCAAATCTATAGGTTCTGAATTCAGACTTGCCTCTCAGGAAATGGGAATATTGTAATAAGGATTCACCTGATAGGAGATTGGAACTAAATTGTTAATTAATTTCCCTTTGCCTCCCACAAACGTCAACCCTATCTCCCATGCTCTCAGAGAACAGTTTATCAAAGGAGCACAGTGTACTGACCTACTGGCTTTCAGCAAGTTGTAAATTAACTAGGTGTTTTTAATTAATTTGTAAGGAAAGCTGACAGTTTAATTCAATCTATGTTCAAGTCTAGAGTTCCATCCCAGGAAACTGGTCTCAAGGGGCAAGACAAGAAATTGAGAATTCCAGCAGAGAAGAGTAATACACTTATGGGCCCTTGAAAATAAGGTCATAATAAGAAACTCTTCCAGTTTTAACTATAATGGACAAAGCATTAATGCTATCAGCCTTCAGATGTCTATCGGTTCTAATTTCAAGGGCACGTACCACTTGAAAAGCATATATTAATTATAATAAACCCTCCTCGTACTATGGGCTGCAGGTATAGACTTTTCTCTCTATCTTCTAGTTCGGTGCCCAAAGCTAACGATGCTCCTGGGGGTTGAGTGGTCTCATTTTTGGTGTCTCTTGGTGAAGCAAGAGTAGTACAATCTTATAGTATACTGAATTCTGAATTCTTTGTATCAGAATTGCTATTTGGCTAGACTTCTCTGTAGCAACTATCCAGTAATTCTTTCCTATTCCTCCTTCTTGGGTAAGGCTGGAGTCATGAAAAACAGGTGAAGGTATTTTAGCAAAAGTCACATTCCATTTATCTTTCAGTCTATTAAGTACAAGTCTTTTCCAATCCTATATTTTTAATAAATATGGGATTACTTTGTCAAGAAATAGTTGCAAGTAATAACAACGGTGATTGATTTGAAATGATAAAGAACTATACATTATTATCATTTCTTTGCATGAGAAAAGCTTGATATTCTTGCTAAAGTAATAATTAAAAAAAAAACTTCATAAAAGTCAACAAAACTACCCCACAATTTTAAATTTAATTCATTTTAAAAATCCAACATTAAATTATAACACTTTTCTGGCTATTTTTAAATCAAGAATTTAACTAGAGACCTAACAAACATAATTTTACATTTTTTATTCATTTACTTAATTATTATACTTCTATTCCTCATACTCACAACCAAGCCAGCCTACAGTGGTTAATATAATAATTTTTTTTTTCATATCTACAGTATTTAGAGTCTCTATAGTAGGCAAGAGATGTCCCAACTCAGTGCAGTTAGCAATTTGTAAAAAAAATCTAAAACATACCACATCAACACCTGGCTTTCCTGGAGGTAACTTTGGACGAGATGGGGGTCTAGGTGGCGGGGGTGGTGGGGTAGGGCTGCTGCAAGATGTCAACGGGGTCGCAGGGCGAGCAGGTGATGATGACCCTGAAAGAAATGTACGCTATCAGTATGGGATTAAACTGCCCTCATGATAGCTCCCTCGTACCTTTAAAGTATATATCCCACAGTGTGAAGAGTCAATCAAGCTAAACAACTGCAAAACCAGCTTGGGATTTGGGTCAGGGGTTACTGAGTAAACATATACATTCATATATGTGGACTCAAACTGGATGAAATAGACAGTTGCTAACCAGATAGGTCACCATGAAGTAGAACAGCTTATTTCTCTGCTTTTGTGCCAGTGCAGTTTTCACACATACGTAACAATATATATGCTTTGGCTATATTTGCTTGCGCATAAATCTTACAAAGTTTAATTCAAAAGGAACACTGGTTGAACTGCACCATTTTAGATTAAGTGTGGCTGCTCAGCATTCCAAAATATTGCCTTCTTTCTTTAATATTAACTTGTAAATAAATGGACAGTATGTTATTGTTCCAAAAATTTAATCGGGGACGCTGCAATCAATTAATAATGATAAAAATAGGTACACTGCAAACCTACATATATTTATTTAGAAATATGAATATACTCCCATGTAAATGGATTTGCAACCTTAGTGAATGGTAAATCACAGTAAAAAGGATAAAAAGCTGGCAAATCAGATAACAACCAAGGACGATTCATGAAAATTAGTGAAAATCTGATATTACTCTGGAGAAAATGAATGTCCAGAATTTAAGAAATATTTCTTACTCTTTCGAGATAATTTTTCCCAAATCGCCGAACACATTTTCTAAATTGCCACTGACAGTTGTTAAACAAGCTGTTTCATTTAAGTATAATCATTCATTATAAAAGAATAATACTGAAACTGATTTTAGTCACATGCCAATGTCAATCCAACTACCAAATAAATTTTTTTGTTTTATTTTTTGCCAACAAACTAGAATGTCTTTTTTGAAACTTAAGAATATGAGGTATCTTTAAAAACAGGACTCCAATATCATACCCCAAATGACTTCCAATGACATCTAAGCTATTACTTATGTTTGGTAACATCAAAAGTTTGTTTTAATTGGAAGAATTCAAGCTGTGTCTTCTTTCTACTCTATCAGTATTCTTCCTGGAAACTAGAACAATTGCAGCATGGAAGGAATTCACAGCATGGACTCCTTGTATGCCCAGTGAGCGTACAGCAGTGATTAGTGTGTATCACAGGAAGGAAGTATGCTGCAATTGCTCTCACGCTGCCAAAGGGAAAATATAAAAATGGCCAATAAAACTTGCAAATATACATACTTATTATATTATCCGTTCCAATGAATAGTACATCTTCTTTCTCCAAAGATAGAAAGTATATACATAGAGCTACACAAAGCATTTGGAAGGGATGCTTTGTGAAACAAGTAGTGTGAATGAAGTGCCCCTCCTTAAAGAGTGAATGCAGATACATCCTCCAGATGGCTTGGAGTAAATGCTGGAAGGATTTGCCTGATTGTCTGCGTGTATTGTAGGTGTGCATGCAATGCCACTTTGGAGGCAGTCAGCATAGCAAAATTGTACCTACAAACAAATCCACAGGCAGCTAAGAAAGTCTTTAGGAAGAGGTGACTTGGATGCTTTAAGGATGAATATTTGGCTTGGGTAAGCCAAATATTGCAATACTTTACAAAGATCCCATTTTAAACATTTGGCACAGCCCTATCAAATGACAAAGATTTATTTCAAGGGAAGCAAGAAAGGAGGTCTATATTCAACCAATCAGATTTTTGTGGTGTTTTCCTAAGTCTTAAATTGAACCCTTTAGCATCAAACAAGACATTCTTGTCAGGAGGGTTGATCTATCATGTCAGTATAAGTGAAACTTATAAGCACTGACTGATCACATGCTTCATGCAGTCAGTAAAACACTCAGCTGCGAGGAGAGGGTGGATGGATGGAGCTTTAAAATACAGCATCATAAATTATTATGTAATATTTATTGCATTAATAATGTTCCATTTGCTAAGCATGCTCTGAATAATTTGCTTATGCAAGATGAGGCTTTGGAAAAAGTTGATAATTTAGGTTTTTTTAGTGACCCTATACTGCTGGAGTAGTACATTTTTTGCTCTGAAACTTCCTTTCCTTTCCTTTCCTTTCCTTTCCTTTCCTTTCCTTTCCTTTCCTTTCCTTTCCTTTCCTTTCCTTTCCTTTCCTTTCCTTCCCTTCCCTTCCTTTCCTTTCCTTTCCTTTCCTTTCCTTTCCTTCCTGCCCTGCCCTACCCTTTTTCCTTTCCTTCATTATCAAAAAAAAAAAAAATCTGCAAAATGATTGCACAAATATTAATTGTGTACTGTTGGATAGTTCAGGTTTCTCTATTAGTGACAAATGAAATAAAAAAGGAATGTATATTGATGAATATGTCTATGGAGATTCTCAATCATCCAGGTCACGGCTGTCCCAAAGGTGCTTTTTCAAAAGGTAACTGGACTTTCTTTGTTTTTTCTTGAAGACGTTTCGCTTCTCAACCAAGAAGCTTCTTCTCCAGTCAGAACTGAAGAACTATTTTGTATCTAACTCTAATCAATCATTATAAATAATTTTGGCAGTAACTGACATTTCAAAGGGCTAGAATGGCTATTCACACACACACACAATTTTTGGTTATATTGTATGTTTCCTAGATTTGCTTAGATTTTTTTCTTTATGATTTAGCTTCCTGGTTGTTTCCTATTTTTTTTTTATTGTAACCAGTAGAGTAGAGTAGAGTAGAGTAGAGTAGAGTAGAGTAGAGTAGAGTAGAGGAAAGGAAAGGAAAGGAAAGGAAAGGAAAGGAAAGGAAAGGAAAGGAAAGGAAAGGAAAAGGTAAAGCCAAACTTTAACTCTGCTTCTATCTAATTATTAAGCAAATGTATTCATCCTTTTTGAGTTCTTGACATACACTGCAGAATTCAGAATGACTGGATTAAGTTACATTATTTTTATTGGGACTGGTATCTGAAAATACACTCCTTTGCTCCACTTAAATTCACACATAAAACTTCATGGAAATCTGTTGTAGTAAGTACACAAGAAGAAACTTCCTCAATAGCCATCAACTGTGTCCTTGAAAGTGTCAAAACAAGCAAAAACACAACAACCCCAAAATATATTGTAATAATTGATTATAGTTACACAGGAAAGGAATTTTGAAATAGGAAAGCATATGTGTCTATAGACCCCTATCTTCCTTAACTGCACATATTATTATATAGAACTGTAAGAGATGCTAAAAGCCCGATTAACTTCCAGTTCCAGTCACTTGTGGGAATAATAACTGAAACAGAAAATACACAATCTATTTTTCCACTTGCTTTTTATAAAAAAGATGAATCTTAGATTTCTGTAAATGTTGCAATTATATTGCAGATCCAACCACAGGCCCAACTTGTATTTTTCAGGGAGAACATCCTAATCAAAATCAACTATCAAACTTCAGGAAAATAAAACACTTCAAGAAATAAGAGAAGTGTTTTACCCCAAAATAAAATTAACTGAAAGTTTGGTTACTTACTGTTTTTTGGAAAATAATTTAAATTAAAAAAGGATTTCTTCCACCTAGCACATTTCAAACTTGAAAAACTGATTTTTTATTTCAATGACAAGCCATACGAAACTGTTTGTACCTAAACCAGCAGCTATTCATTTCATCATCCATCTATGGATAGATATATATACAAGCTTTAAGCTATTCCATTAATCATATCTGGAACATATAAGGGCATTTCCTGCTTTAAACGAAACAATAATTTTGAAGACTAATGATAATATTTATTCTGTTTCCTAAAAATAGTAATGATGAAATTTGATATTAAGGAAAATATACAACATGGAAGGATAAGTTCTAAGACCCCTAGAATGGGGAGAGGGTTTGCCTCAAAATAGCGTTTGAATATATCCTTCTGTTCCCCTCTCAGAGTTCACTCTTGCCACTCTTGGCATTTTCTTTGAAAATATGGATTATATAAGCATCAACAGGGAGAGGTTATCAAAGACAAGAGAGAATTCTTCAGTCTCATCTTAGATGAACACATTGTTGATTTCCTATTTGTAATTAGGCAATAGGTAGTTTTCATTTCCTTCCAAAATTGAATTGGGAGTCAGAGAAAAAATACAAAGCCCAAAGCAAGTTACTTACACGCTCAAGAAATTATTCCCATATAAGAAGAAGTTACAGTTCTTTTTCAGACTCTGGACAATTGTTTTTAGTTACAAAGGGAGATGAGTTTAACTTGTTGCTTGTAGAAATAACGGGGTGCATGTTTCACTCTCATCCCTCCATTTTTATTTTCTAAACTACTCAAAGGATACATTAGAAAACATAACAAAATTTTAAAGTATGTGCAGGGAAAGCAACCCAAAGTGTTGCTCTCCTGAAGTGTTGATCATTGATCTGAGATTTAAATACTTTTCTCTCTTGCTAAATTCCCCTCAGAACTCCTATTAGTCTGAGAATAGCCACAGATATTTTCTTATCCCCACAAAGGATAGGAGTTTGTCTTGATGTCATTTGGAGCACCTTAGAGTCCATGGTACACAACAACAGCTTTGGAAGTAGATGAATGAATTTCCAGGGAACTATGATAATTTTTCATGCTACCTACTTTCTTGGGCTACTACAGTCATTTGTTATACCAACACTTGTATTTCCAATGAAATAGCACTATCTATAACTTGCTATTGGGATTACTATATTTAGATTAAATTATTATCTCTCTTAAATTGAGTTCATCTCCTGATGACTGTATGGACATGTCCATTTTTTCCCAATCTCACATCTAGAGGTTAGTGAAGCAGGAAAGACAAAATTGACTCTTTCTCTGTTCATTAACAGTATAATTCTTATTATACATGTTATCTGATGTCTGGGCTGATTCTCATGAGGGTATGGCACTATTCTTGAATAGCATTACAGTTCTCTTTAAAAAAAGAGCTTATCAGCTGAATATAAGCTAATTGAGAGGCTCCTTTTGATTGCCAATTAATTCACATTCTCCCAGATCCCCATCCCATTTAATGAGAGTTTGGTTGATGTTGTTTTTTGGGAGAAGTAAGACAGGGAAGTCCACCAATCTATGTCCTCAATATTTCCTGTACCATTTGCAAGCACCACTCTGTGGTGGGACAAAGATCCTACAGTAGATATAGGTCCTGCGAGGGGAAAAAATCCTTCATTTAAGATGTAATATATTAATATGTGCTTATACTTTCCATAAAAAGTATTTCTTAGACAGATGTGATCTTTGCTATTGTTTAAGTGCTATCAAATTGTTTTTTCATGACTACTGATTATAGAAGTCCTGAATTATATAGATGAAGGGGGAAAGTCCTATTAGACTTTTTTTTTTTCTGCAAAAAGTTCATGAAGGAACTGTGGCAACCTGGCAAAGTACGGATTTTTTTCTTACGCTTTCCTCCTGAGGAAAATTCCCAAGTGAAGTAAAATAAAATACTTCATTTCTTGATCCAGAGCTTTAATAAATTTAGAGCAATCCTGATCAATGATAATACATTTCCACCTTTACCTGGTGCTTAAGACATAAAGCTCTCCCATCAACAATTAAACATTCAGCAATGGTAGGAAAATAAAACATACTATCAAGGATTCACAGTTGAGTTGGGTCACAAGAGCACGGAATTAAAGGGAAAAAAAAAGGCCACTGGGCACAGTACAATCAAACAAAAGGGAATGATTGATGCTAAAAGCCAAAAAACAAAAACAAAAAACTAACAGCTAAAAAGGCTTGTTGTTTCACACTGCAGCATTCATGGGCACACTGAAGCACACTCAAAGCTGTTTAGACATACCACTGGTGCTTCCTGTGCCACCGCCAGGGCTGGGTCCAGGTGATGACACCACTGTCCTGTAGGTAGGAGGTGGAGGGGGAGGCGGTGTTGCTCTCTGTCCCACCCCAAAATCTTTAGGAGATGCTGCTGGTGCTAAGTTATCATCTTTAACGTGGGTCTGCTCTGAAACTTTCTTCTGAACCTCTTCTAAATTGAGTGGAGAAGGAACATTGCGAGAGACTTCAGCCTCTGGAGGCTCTTCTGGGATTTCGGATGCCACAGGTGGGGACACCACTTTTTCCCTTGAAGTCACCTCTGGAGTTACATTTTCCAGGGTCTGATCAGAAAAACTGATCCATTTATCCTCTGCGTTATCAGCAACAGAATTGGGGGACAATACTGGGCCAAAAATGCTGTCCAAGTCATTGATTGATGGTAGTTTGTCACTTTTGACCTCTGTTGCTGTCTGGTCATTTCCTGTGGTCAAAGTAGTTGTTTCAAACTTTAACATCAACTGGTACAGTTAAGTTGTATTATTGCTCTATGTATGTATGGGGCTTTTAAAATTCAAGCTACATTCTAGCACAAAGACATTTTGATAACACATTTAAAAGGTGCTTTTGAGAACATAGTTGTGTGCAGGTATCCATATAACTTTGAAGTACATTCCATGTAAATTACATTCTTCTTTCAAAATCACATATCATACGTTGTATATTGATAGAGAAAATTACCTCGGCAACACAATTGACATTCTGACTTTATTACTAGATATTAGAAGAGAAATGGCAAAACAATAAAAATTTAACAAGGTGATGTATGTGCACATATGAACATGTATATTGCATAATGCATTGAATTATGTGATATGCAATGTGACATTATTTTAGCAAATCAAAAAGAATATAATTCGTAATGCATTTCTATGCTTCAGCTGAATCATCATTATTGCAAAAATAATTTTAGTAAATGTAGCAGAACATTTGACAACAGATGTGTTAAGTGACAGGAAAAGATTCTTAATGAAAAATTAATTAATGGTTGCTATATTCAAATAATTGTTGCATTACTAAATTTCAGTGCTTGGGATAATCTGAAATTAAATAAACAGTTTCTAAATTCTTTTCCTTCTGTGAAAGAAATTGTTTAAAGTTCAGTATGCGTCTTAAGCTCTGTGATTAGTCATCATTCAACAAAAGTTAAGCAAATTTAATTCCCAATGACAACAAGAGATACATCCCTGGCCTCCATTTTATCTGAAATGGCTGCAATTTTCCAAATCTGCATACAAAATAGAAAAGAATGTAGAACTATTTTCTTTTCATAAAAAGAAGACTATTCCATATGTGCAGAGCTCTGGATTGTAGCTAGTAAATTCATTGATGGAATATAATTTTTGTAATTATTATTCTATAATTATGAATAAATATATATAAAACCAAAATGCCGAATTCCTTTAGGAATGCAAAATTATATACATTTTTTATTCAATTTCCCCCTTTCCTGATTGCTATATTCCAGATTGGAGAAGGCTACATTTGAGAAAGATAATCATTATATATTTTAGTATATTTGTAATCTACCTTTCTATCAAAGTGTAGCACACCAAGGGGGGTAACCATCTACCATAGGCCATGTATATATAAATGAAATATAAGAGAAAAAATTCTGATCCAAAATGTTACATATGTTTGTAAAGAAATGTTTAAAAAATTGAGTTTGTATGCATGGCAGTTTTCCTTATATAACAGAACCACATTGATTGAGGAAAAAACCCTAAATGCACTGCGATCCAAGACAAACATATTTAAGCTTCCCAACTTCTTTTCTTATACAAAATTGAGTCTTGTAAACAAAAGCTTACTAATAAAATTACCAAAAAAGATTCAAATTTGAGTACTTAATATAGCACAGGTAACAGAAGGATTTCAAAATTTCAAGGGTTGAGAAAATAATGTATAAAGCTTCATCAGTTATTTTTTGATATCTAAAAGAGAAACCTGCTTAAAATATTTTGTGAACAAAATATTAAACACACACAGTATATGCATAACATTAAGAAACTATGATTGAGTTCATATTAATGTTTCATAATGTACACTAAACAAGGTCATCATTATTATGCAGCAAAATATACAAGTATTAGACTTAACTATGTGTGTCAAATATTCTTACCTACTCCAATTGTTAAAGGAGAACCAGCATGGGGAGGTGTAGCAGGAATGTTTTTGGGTGGAAGTGGTGGAGGTGCTGTAACATAAAAGGAACATTTTAAAGACAAGGATAGACAAAGCTCAATCACAAAGATTGAGATCTTGTCTCATGTAGATGTTGCTGCAATTCAGAGAGTTCATTGTACAAGCAGAAGACATTTCCACTTGTGTAGGAATGCCAGTTGTTAGCTTCTGACCTTCAAAGAACATCCCATAATTTTTATGCAGAGTATTTTTACCATCAGAAATACACGTTTAATATGGAAACAGACATAATATTGTTGCTAAACATTATACATTTTAAAATAAACATAGCAATTTTAATGATAAATTTCTGTTTTCTGATTAATTTCTCTTTCTAATATATTATATTGGCAGAAAGGTGAGTTTTCATTGCACAGTTGAATTAGTATCTCTGTTTCCACAGAGTATAATGAGCTATGATCCCTAGTAGGTTTACTTCTTTCTATATTTCACAATTTTTCAATTAAACATACCCAACACATTAAACCACTTTTTCTACCAAGAATTAATCTAACTTACTTCCAGATGGGAAGGGTCGTGATCCATTTGGAGATTCTACACTTGAGTTCGCTGGTTGCACAGAACCCCAGACTTCACACTGATCTATGGAACCTGAAGCTATATATAAGCAAATATATAACAACATATTAATCTAGAAGTAACACAAGAACTTGATTCTTTTTTATTTCCAGTAAGAGTTTAACTCTGAACTTTAGGTATTACCGAATTGCAGCAGCTATTCAAATAAAAGAAATAAAAACAAATTAATCTGAATACTTGTAAATAGTATTTTGAGTGTTTGTTTTACCATGAAATGTACAGTATAATATTGGAACCAGTGGCTTCCTGATGCACATATCCATTTCACATTTCTCATTCATCTAATATGGCACATATTTTTTAAAAAATATCAAAATGCTTGTTAAAAATGATTCAGATAGGAGCAAAAAAAAGAAAGAAAAGAAACTTAACATAGATTTGATTCCATGTTTTTCTTAGATTAGCAAATCAGCACCCCAGGGGAGCATAGATACACTCACAGTAAGAAAGAAACAATCAGCTGCATCTGCTAGGACCGTGATGGCGAACCTATGGTATGCATGCCACAGGTGGCACGTGGAGCCATATCTGTGGACATGCAAGCATTGCCCTAGCTCAGCTCCAGCGAACATGCATGTGCCGGCCAGCTAATTTTCTGGCCTTCCGGGCCCACCAGAAGTTGGGAAATGTACTGTTTCCGGCCTCTGGAGGGCCTCCGTGGGGGCTGGGGAAGGCCATTTTTGCCCTCCCCAGGCTCTAAGAAAGCTTCTGGGCCCATCATGCCATTGCATGCCAAAAGAGGGGGTCGCGTGCAGGTGCGGGGGGCTGGGGCGCATTGAATTATGGGTGTGGGAATGCGTGCATGCAACCCCCCCTGCAGTCCCCCCGCTTTTGGCACGTGATGGCAAAAAGGTTAGCCATCACTGTGCTAGGAGATCAGAGGACAGCATAATGAAAGCAGCATTGGAATACACATCCCACCCTTTCTAGACCTGCACCAAGAGGTTGCATACAGATACAAAAGAGGCAGAGCCTGGGGTAAAACTGCTTTTGTTATTCTGAATAAAGCAACAAACTCTGGTGAAATGGACATAATTAATCAAATAATGAATCCATGATTATTTCAGGTGAACCCGTCTGATGCAAAATCTACATGGAGTAGTGGTATGGGAATGATATTGAACTGGAGCAGGTAAGATCCAAGTTCCAATCATAGAAGTTAATTGGGTAACAATCACATTTTTCAATCCAAAATAACACAAGGGCTATAGGAACAAACTCAAATAGAGAGAAAGCTAGGTATTCCCACCTGAGAGAAAGGCAAGCTATAGCTCTAATACATAAATACAATTTAATAATTTACCTTCCAATTTGTCTTCTTCAAATGCAGATTCTAGGGGTGGACCAAATAATGGTGCTAGGACAGCAGCGTCTTCTGAAGTTCTTTTGCTACAGAAAAAAAATAGTTATTTGATATCAGCAGATGTGACAAATTGGTTAGATTTTTTTAAAAAATATTTTCCATAAACACAAACGTCAAACTTTTAAATGTCATTTTATATATGTACACAAGAATTGAGTTTTGTTTTGGCATTGCTTGTTATAGTTCTGCTAATAACCATTGCCATATCTATGTAAGGAAAATATTATGTACCGCAGCAACTATGCGGTTTTAAGTTATACTGAAAGATATACTGTTGTCAATGTAGCCATTCAATGCTCAAAAGTTTACATATGAATAATTTTATAAAACTTTACATATTAAAAACAAATTAGATTCTTAAGTGCTAATCCTTAAGAAATCAAAGAATGCTATCCATATTACCAGACTTGAATACTGCCAGGATTTGGACACATGAAGATGAAACGGTCAATTTATTAACCTCCCAAGAGCCACTAAAAACTAAACCTGCTCAGTCATAGAAAATTCTAAGTGTTGGGAGAATGGAATCGAATTTAAAGAGTCAGTACCTCAGAGGTGGGTAAATATGACAACTTTATAACCTATGGACTTCAAATCCCAGAATTCCCGACCCAGCCATAAAGTTGTCATAGTTGCCCACCCCTGGGCTACCTGAATAGGAGTACTGTTTACTGCATTTTATTTCATGTTATTCATGTTACTTTCTATAGTTGTAAAGGGAAGCAAAGGAACCAGATTTTGAAATAGTTAAGACAAATGGGGCTCAATTTCCTTGAAAACACGATTGTGATTTTCTGGTTCTGCAGTAGAAGCAGAGAATCCTCTGAAAAACCTTCCTTAATATTTAGAAAATTGTGCCCATTCAGCTCTGGAGATCTTAAATTGAGCCTTTGGAATACTGTTCTGTTTCTTTAAAAATGCAGACACACATATACACACTCCATCCAAAAATAAAATGTTATTCTTGTAAGTAAAAACCCACAAGCCAGGAAATAAATACTGGAAGCAGCATTTCACAACCAATTGTGAAAGTTCCTTTTTTTTTTTTTAAAGAGCCCTATTCAGTTTATTTACAGCATAACAGACAATATGATTTAGTTATTTAAAAATCCAGAAATTAAATGTCAACAGACCAAAAGTTATCAAATATATGAATAGTTTACCCCAATATGCATAATATTACACCTATCTTTTTGTATAACATTTTCCGCCAGGATTACATATATTAAACGGCATTTTGTTACATTTTCCATTCAAGGATATCAGAATGATAGCATAATAGAAGCAAGAAATCCTCTAAAATATATCCCAGTATAATATAGTAAGAAAACATCAGAAAACAGATCAAGTGCCTAAAACCTCTATAAGACATTTAAAAAAATCTGCCTCTCATTTAAAAATGCCTGAATACAAATAACATTTCAACAGATAATGGCACTAATGACAATTATACTTCAATTCCCATTGATTTCTCTCTATATAAAGGAGAAATGGCTTACTACTAAAAAAATATGTAGCGCCTCTACAATGAATTTATGCTGCCAAAAGAATTTACACATATGGTAGAAGAATTTAGGGGATGAAAACTATCCCTACAATTACTATTTCTTAAAATGGAATGAAGTAATGCGTCTACTACCTGAAATGATTAAGGCATTTAAAAAAAAAAATCTCAAGATATATTTCAATAATTAGTATCAGTCACTATTGTGTAGATTGGGTTAATATTTTCTCTCTCTCTCTCTCTCTCTCTCTCTCTCTCTCTCTCTCTCTCTCTCTCTCTCCCCCATTCCCCTTCCCCCTCTCCCTCTCATGTCTGTCTGCAAATGTGTGTGTGTATATATAAATCTGTGATATCAGATTGTTTATGTATTTGCTCTATCATAGCATATTGGAATAAAAAAGTTATTCTTCAAATATTTTGATTCAAAGCCATTTGGTACCAGTTATTCCCTGTGTTTGTTCCTGGACATATTTAATAATCAAATGATATCAAAGAAATGTTGATCAATAGTATCTTTCCTTTTGTAAAACTCTAATGGTTGTTTTGGTATAATTTGTTTCTTCTTTGCCCAAGGTTCTGTCTTAATCAATGGTTCATACATTACACATTTTTGGATAAATGAAAATGAATACTGTAAAATAATAAATCAATTACCAGTATATTTTGAATCCATTTTATTTATGTATTTGGAGTATTATGAATATAAATAATAGAGTAAGTAAATATAAATAGATGGCAAAAACTGGCTCCAATATTGTAATTTTTTTTACACATTTCTGCTAATAGGCTGATAATATTATCTGGCAACCAAGCTATCATATCTGTGTAAATTCACAGTCTGATACAGATGGAAGTCCTCCCCAGAATCTAAAAAAATGCATTACAGTATTCTTTTCATACTCAAGATATAAATAAAAAGGGAAGGCCATTTTGCATATAGACCCACATACAGTGTTGAAAAATTGGTGCTAAATTAGCTAAGAGATTATAATTTTATACATTTTCATAGGAAACAAATGTAGAATTAATCTTTTAATGCAATCAAGCACAAAACAATAATCCCTCTGCACATGTCCATTTTGGGAATAAGAATTCCACATCTTTGGGGACTCAGTTTTACACTAACCTGAGAAGCTCTGGAGTAGGAGTTGAACGCCGGGGTCTTGCTATCTCTTCACCTAGCACAAAATATACATTTAAAATTGTTTTCTTGGGAGTACAGTGTAGACAAACTGTCTGCTGAATATTAAATAAAACCAACTGAACAGTGGGCCCATGAAGATGTGTCATTGGTGCTGATCTGAGACCACAAGTTTGAGACCCTTTTGCATAATATTGTGACTTTTGTAAACTTTTTGCAGTTGAGGCTATTAATTTTACAGGAGTGCAGGAGTTATTACTGCAAGAACAATTCTGCAATGTTACCTCCTAAGCTATGGGAGAATTCTTGTCTTTACAAGAATTCTCAACTTTCTTGCCTCCTGGCTCCTCAGCATTTTTCCTATTCTACCTTGCCACCCTTTCATTGACTTTAAATTTTACCAAAGGGTATTTTCTTTCTTTGCTCATTAGACAAGGCTAAGGATGGGAAGCTAGAGCTGAATGAAAACCTATATTCCATGGTTGGACAACTAGAAGGAACACTAGTAAAGTTGTTTTGTGTGAAAGGTTATGATAACTTTGGACAATATTAGATTATATTGTCAATATATCTTTAAAATACGATCATATGGCCAACAACTGTATAATATTAAAATTATAATTAGGCAATTTACATTTTTCTACTTAATGCATACTAATACTTAATAAATCAGGCAAAAACCTAACTGTGGCCGCTTAACATAATACAAGATTTCATAAACCATTTCAACTGAGATTAATTATGCCCCAGTCTTTCTACATATATTGTAACATTTCACATTCTAGGCTACATATGTGTTTTTATGAAAAATAAATGCAATGAAAACATTTTCATTAAATATGTGTATTTTTATTAGATATATGAGAATATTCCATGAATTCTGATTGATATGCTCTGTGCAGTCAGCTACCTGCAAATTCTGCATGGGCACTTTGATTTAAAATGCATCTATTAATTATGTTTATGCCTTTGTATAGAATTTCATAGCAGTATGCAGATGTATTCTCAATCTGTTTTGAGGTCTGTTTCACTAATATTCTGAATACAGTCTTGTTAATTTGCTGCTGCTGCTCTTTTAGGATATGAAAATTATGAAAGAAATCTACTCCATCTATGGATATTCACCAGTTAAAGCCCAATGTGTCTTTAAATGATACTTACTAGATAGGTTCCTCTTAACTGTACCCTAAAATTAAATACAGAAAATTACAGTTTAGAATTAAAGGATTATATTTACATAAAGGGAACATTGCTCCATTTTGAAATGCTGAAAAGCCATAGATAAATAATATTTGTAAAACAAAACATACACTAAATTGGGTTTATAGAGTACACTTTATGGGTTCCTTTGCCAGTTTATTCATTCACTCATATTTACATACACATGCAAACTATTCAAACATCTTTTGAATAGAACTGAAGGTAATAGTTACAAATGTATTTCCACAAGAATTTCACACGTACTCAATTTGCCCAAAAATCCTAGAACATGTTTATAGCCCCAGAGCTGGATTATACATTCATAAAATCTCTTTTGCTTGAACATTGGTTTATGTCTAATTTTTTTTAACTAAAAATCTAGACTGTAATATTGCAGAATATGAAAAAAAAAAACCCATAGAAACAGAAAATAGAATTCTGAGGAAGTATGAAACATAAACAGGACATATCTATGCAAAAGGTGTTATTACATGCTCTTTAATAGCTCCTTATACTTTATATATCAGAGCAGAGGTCTTCAAACTTGGCAGCTTTAAGACTCGTGAACTCCCAGAATTCTCCAGCCAGCCATGGAGAATTCTGGGAGTTGAAGTCCACAAGTCTTAAAGCTGCCAAGTTTGAAGACCTCTGGAATAGAGGGTGCCAGAGGATTGGATCCAGAATGATTATTCTGTCCATTTCTGCATGTGTTTTTCAAGGCAGCTCTTTTCTTTTCAAACCATATTCCATGAAATATATTAACATCAGAAAATGAGGCCATAACATCACAGCCAAGGAAAAGGGAAGATCAAGAAAAACTGAATGATCAAGAGTTCAGTAGGGAAGATTTTAAAGAGAATAAAACGGGAAATATTTCTTAATCAACGTGATCCTTATTAAGCTTGGCAAGGATTGTTATCTCCCAAACACTCTCTGCAGGATATGTGAGGTATATTCCCCAAATAAATTTAAATTAATCCTATGTTAAATAACCCGCAGTCATTTACACAACTGTTTCAACATGAATTCATGACCTACCGGACTGCGTCTCTGTGATCAGCAAAAAGGAAGAGAGAAGAGATACCTAGTCAGAGAGTGAAAGATCAGTAGTAAAAATGTCTTTGGATGGTAGGAGATCTTCTAGCTTCACAAAATATCAATTTCAACTATTTTTCTTCAGAAAGCTCTCTTCTAAATCCACTTAAGGTCTTGGGCTTGTTTAAGCTTGATTTTAAAAATGAACTTATACTATGAAGATATTTGCAGTAACAACAGCAACAGAAAATCCACATTTGCTTATTTTATCCCACATATTAATTGCTAAAACATGGTTATAGTTCTAACATTAATTGAAGTGTTAGAGATCTACATTTAATTAAAATTTCAAATTAATCAAAAACCATGTCCACTTTCTTTATATATTTTGGGCAGTTTCGAAGACTGGCCTTTTCATATTTGCAATTACTTCCAGTACTTATTTGGAAATTCAAAAACATGTGCACTGTCTTAAAAATGTCTTGCATATATTGTCAGTTTCTTATATTTTTAAAAATTGGCAATTAGTCCTTGTTTTGGAAAAGGGCCATAGTATGGAGTTAAATATTCTTCTACCTTTTCTCTTTCTTTTTTTCCTGAAAAACACAGAGCACACTTTGGATGTTGTCAATAGTCATGTATCCCTATTGCTTCTCTTCCTAACTTTTACCTTATGTTCACTTTTGTCTCATTCTATGTATCATATCTGTAGTTAAGTTTTTGTTAGTCTTTGTGTCCAGTCTGTCTGCAATTCGACAGCTCATTGAGACCCAAAATAGTGAGAATCTGTGATTTCTGGTCTCTTCACTGTGTGTGGTTTGAGGCAGTATGCTTTGCTTTTAGCCTATTCCATATAATGCAAACTATTCTTTATATCATATATGTTATGTACAAAAGAGTCATATACAAAACTTTCATATATTTTAAATATTGTTGCATAAGCAATGTCTAATAAGTTATTCCTGGAACAGTCTAATTTTGCCACTGAGCCATGATAATATATCTCCTAGTCTAGAAGAGTATGTGTTTATGAGAGTAGTAAACGTGTCAATCTTCAGTAACAAAATTAATTTGGAATAGGACACGTGCTGTGTGAATTCAGTGCAAATTCTCTATAGATTCTCTGCTGGGCAATTTTAAAGCTGCTTTGCTTTTCATTTCCTATCCTTGCTTCTTCTGCCTTTAAAGACATTTAGTAAGAATATTTCAATGTTTTATTGCAGGGGTGTCAAACTCACGTCGTTCTGGCAGCATCACGTGACGTATCGGGACTTTTCCCCACTTCGCTACCAGGCATGGATATGGCCAGCGCGTGATGCATCCGGCCTGTGGGTCGGGAGTTTGACAGCCCTGCTTTATTGTGTCAAACTTTGAACCTATCTGGCTCAAAACCTGCAGGCTAAATATTCCCTAAAAGATCTTTTACCCATGCTTTTTTTTTATCCCATTCTCATTGGAAGATTGATGATACTTTGATGCTTCCCTGTTATACTGAACGGTATTTAATCTTCAAATCTTTTATCAAGTTGTACCTCAAAAGTTCAAAATGAATTTTGTTACCTTGGAATCTCACATCTCAAATCCTCACTGATTGCCTATTTATTCCAACAATTTTAGAAGGACAATTAGCTTGAGAGGCACAGGTGGCCTGCATGGATAACATGGTTCCTGCTTCTTCAGGGAAAGGAAATAATTCAAATAACATGCAGCTATTTTTTATTTCCCATTAGTGCTGCTGGCAATATGTGGGGAAGGACTGTGCTTCCTTCTCAGAGCCTAAATTCCCAAAATTGTCCTTCGTTTATTCCTTCTTATGAAATGACATGAATGAACAACCTGACACCACTACCTCCCAAATATTACAAAGTATGTATGTATGTGCATGTGCATACACACACATGCAGAAACTGCTTACATCCAATAAAATGAGAGTATTAGGGAAGAAGAAGGCTTCTTACCGGACTTTTCCTCTGCAAAATGCATTAAGATAAAGAAGAGAAAAAAAAAAATAGGCATTTTCCACTGTACATCATCCATGAAAAAACTAATGAAATGATACATTAAATATTTTACAGATCAGTCCTAAAGACATCTATTCAGAAATAAATTAATTTTAATTAAACTTACTTTCAAAAGTTCCCATGAAGATAAATTTGTAACAATGAAAAGACTAAAAGTTTTATTACCATAGACAAAAGAGAACGTCAAAAAGAAATGGGCATTCATAAAATTCATAGGCTATGCCTACTTATTCAGAAACAAATTGCAATGGGATTAAAGAGGTTCACCGTAAAGCAGCCTTCCTTAGCCTGGACATTTTTCAACTCCCAGAATGCCCAGCAGTGGCCAAAGTTGTTCACACACCACTGGACAGTAGCCAAAATAGAGAAGACTATTTAGCATGAGTTCGCATAGAATCATAACACCGAAACATTGCAAAGATCCAATTACTCATAATTGATGTACACTCTAATATTTCTCAATGCGTAATCGATTAGCTTAGCTATTAATTAAAATCAAACAAATGTGATGGACCTTAATGATTATCTGTGACCCATCAAAGAGACTAAGCATATTTGTATTATTTTGGTGTTATTTTATTTGTCTCTGATCAATCAGAAAAAAATTTAAATTTAAAATGAGTTCCACTGTTATCCATTAAAGAAAAAAATGGTGATACAGCCTGCTTTGTTAAACTTCCAATTAAAATCCAACATCTAACTAATGTAATTGCCTTGAAAAAAAGTAAATGCTCAAGAAATACCAGTCATAAGGTTATTATCCTGGCTAAGAAGGATAACAAAATATAAAACATACTGGTTTCTGATAACATGGGATGATAAATATAATCGTAAAAAAAACTGACAGATTGTTCTCAGTTTAAGCAGGTTCAGATCTTATGCATATCTGTTGATGCAAGACATATTGTGTTCAATGAGACTTGCTCACAAGTAATGGTGCATAGCTTTGCAGTCAGAAACTATTAAACAATTGAATTGAGAAGAAAACTTACTGATTATGTATTGGAACAGCACACTTCCTTTCGTAATCAAATAGAATCCAATTAAAATTCAACAGAAGGCTCTAAATACTAATTCCTTCACCAGATACAAGAAATGAAATCTTTGCTGCCGCTTCATTTTCAGCCCATAATTATCTATTAACCATCTCCATAAGGTATGAGATGAGTTAGTTGAGAAGGTAGTTCTTCTTTGACAAAGTACCACAAAAGGGTTTAAACTAAACCAATCTTTTCTATCATGTGTCAATTCCTAATTATTTCCCCCCCTTCTTTTTCCTTTTAAATAGTGTAGGACATTAAAAATGTTACTTGCTCCCAAGTGCTCCCCCATCATATTTTTTCTATGCTTGAGCAGATGGTCATTATCTAAAGTAGACTATGGAGTATGGCAAAGCCTTGCTAAGTCTATTAGAGTAAGTAGGAAGAAAGAAGGAGGGAAAAAGGGCAGACTGATCTTTTCCTCTTCGTCTAACTACATTGAATTATTTGGGCATAAATTCTCAACGATGAGGTTGGCAGTATTACCATCTCACAAAAATTATTTTGTTAACACATCACCTTGAAGAACAGCTCTTCAACATTCATCACACAGAAACACACACCATCATCAGATTTTCTTCGTAGAAAACTAATGCATCATCTAGTGGCTTATAATACGTTATTGAGCTAATCATAATGTTTCTAAGAGCAAATAATTGCTAAATTTATTTAACATTTCTTCCATCAGATTTCAAGCAAACCCTGCTATAACCAGTGAGTCATGATTTTATAACAGTGATGTTTGAGGCAAAATTTTTAAGAAGGGCTTATGTTTCTTGCATTTCCAAAATAAATTAAACAGCAATGATACCTGGAAAAAACAGTTTTAAAAGACTGTAGCTCTGCTGCTCACTAATCTCTTTAAAGAAAGGCATAATTAATCCCATTATAGAAAGAATTATAGCCAAAATATATGCTGCAACCATATATCCCCCCAAAGTCATATAAAATGGGAATGACTTCTTGTTGAGCAACAACAGGCTTATATAAAATATATGCTTTGTACTAGCCTTTCCTTTTACATTTTAACAGGGCAAATGTTCTCCATTTCTGTCCTAATACTGCACAAAGATGCAGATGAAGTAATTTCAGTCCTGCTATTAGTTTGGCTCTAATTTTTTCAGGTGCTGCTTTAAAGCAAGAAAAAGAGACTCGTGGTGGATTTTCAGCTCATGAGACATCTAAACCTTAAATTAGCATCACTAGGAGTCATATATTCAGGAGCAAAAGAAGAAAATGTTAGTTATATAATCAACTCTATGGGGCAAAACAAGAGTTGGATTATAGCATTTCAATTTGCTTCAAAAATATAGCACTTTTAAATTTAAATTGGTTATCTCTGGACCTTTGTGAATCACATGACTTTATTTCCAAAGGAAATCAGCATTTTAAAAAAAGTGTTCTGCTAGAACAAAAGGTGAGATAACAATTTTGGGACATTTCATATTTCCCCACTGTGTTGTTCTTATGCTGTTTTAGGTAGCTTTTCAACTCTTAGAGCAGTTTTAGAAGAAGCTGCAGGGAAAGGAGAAACCAAACCACAAAAAGTGTTTTCCCCCCAAATATATTAAATTCTGTTTTATGTACATCTGGGTCTAAATCCATTAGATATACATTATGAACCATGTAAGCACACTTTCCCATATATAGTATGTAATTCTCTCTTCTTGAGTAAACTAAATCTGGCTATTAGAGAACTTCTAGACTACCATAATAATATTCCAATTACTATTTACTTTTGTAATACTACCTGAACAAACTTCTTTTGAAATATTTTAAAAAGGGTATCATTTCTCCTGAATTTTGCTGCAACAATTAGAATCAACATCTATACTACTACAACTATAAAGGGAAAACTGCTCTAAGAAACAAAACAAGTTCTTGAAAAAGCCAATTATATTCTGACTAGAAATACTAAAAAAAAAGAAAAAAGGATTTGAATCCAGCATATCTAACTTTCCGATCAAGGTAGCATGATTGACAACAGCTCACAGAAACCTTAGAAAAACCCTCTTTTTGCCAAAAGCAAATTCCAAAATAAATATATAATAGTTTTTGCACATAAAATTGAATTCAAATGCTGCTAATCAAGGGATATTACTTTTCAAATCAAGAGAGCTTGGTTTAAATGCTCCAGAGATTTTACGTTATTATGCAAACAGTTGTATACACAATACATCTCACTAATATAAAGTATAGCCCTACTCAATTTAAAAAAATGACACTGTACATTCTAAATTTCCCTTTTCATAGTATAAAGCCATTTAAGTTATTCTTTTCAGCATCCTGCATTCATGAAAAACATTACAGCTCTAGAAGCTTCCTTAAACTGTATGGCATCACTTGATTAGGAAGCTGCATTCTCTCCAATGCAACAAAGTCATCATTCTGATTAACAGCTTCCATGTCTTCTACAGTCCAGGAAATGAGTGTTACAAATCACCTCTTGAACTTGATTTCCATATACTACAATATAACACACTGTTGCTTTCAAACCCAGCTGCATCAGCCTTGTGAATTCATAACGATTGCAAGGTTCGTTTACTGAAATAAAGATCACCAAATAGCACATACACCCGCAATGCATAAAAGTTGGGACTTCGTGCAGTAATAAATGATGAAGGCATAGATGTTATCCCAACATTAGGTTTCAAACAATTTGCACAACTTTAGATTAGCTAAATTTGTTTCCAGTTGTGTATCCAGTACGTTGTTGGATTCTATGTTGTTAAAGCCAAATGATAGAAGAAACAAAGCCATATAGTTTCTTTAACTGGAAATTCGGAAACTTTATGCAATTAGGGCATGTACAACTTTATTATTTACTCCTAATCATTTCTTATAAATCTAGCAATTAATAATACTCAGGGACCATTTGGGGAATGTTGCAATTATCTTCTTTTTGTACTGCTGCCTTTTCAACAAAAGAATGGTCAGATACTATTATGATGAGAGTGATAAAATTATAGACTTAGAATTCATTTGCATAATTTTTGTGAAGGAATGCTATTTTTTTAAAAAAATTGATTTATATGCCGCCCTTCTCCGGAGACTCAGGGCGGCTTACAATGCGTTAAGCAATAGCCTTCATACTTTTGTATATTTATACAAAGTCAGCTTATTGCCCCCACAAACTGGGTCCTCATTTAACCTACCTTAGAAAGGATGGAAGGCTGAGTTGACCTTGAGCCTGGTAAGATTCGAACCTGCAGAAATTGCAGGCAGCTGTGTTAATAACAGGGTGCATTAAACCACTGTACTACCAAGGCTCTTAAAATGGTTGATGTCCAAAGTAGATATATAAATATCTACCTGATGAACAAATCACCCCATTGAATCATAGTTGAGGCAATTAGAAGCTAATCACCTGTGTGGGATGAAAGTAAGTACTATTTAGTGTTTAATGAATTAATCATCAGATGCAGCAGAAACAAATCTCAATAAAAATCCTGGGTCAATATGTTGTTTGAGTAGTTCTGTTTGGACAGAGAAGCCTTGAACTGGCTAATATAATTCATCCTCGGGTATCTGTAAAGTACAAACTCTAAGGTGTTCTGACGTAAGACCACTGGACTTATATCAGGGACGGGTTTCAAAACCTGTCACTACTGGTTCGCTTGTGGGCGTGCGCATGCGCGACACTTCTGTGCATGCACAGAAGCGTCTGGGAGGGTGGGCGGAGCTTCCTGCCACCGCCGCTACCAGTTCACCCGATTCGGGGCAAACCGGTAGCAACCCACCACTGACTTACAGTATATCTCCTGTTTACCACTGAATGGTACTTATTTGAGTGCCTTTTTCCATATTGACAGCCATGTGCTGCATTGGAGAAAGAGCCTATTGCTTTGAGGAAGTGGGAAGATCTCTTAGACAGGACAATGAGCAGGTATCCATTTCTGAAAATGGAGTTTTGATAAGAAATAGAGTTATATGTATCTAGAAACCTTGGTGGATCAGCCAATGACTTGGCTAACTGATGTAAGGGTTAGAAGCTAGCACATGCCATCTAGATCAGGGATTCCTAACCCCCGGGCCATGGCTCTCTGCCAGGCTACAGCCTGTTCAGAACTGGGCTACTGAAGTGGTAGGCGAGTGCGCATGCACTCAGCTACATTTGTGAACAAAACCATCCCCTTCCCCCCCCCCCCCCCCCCGTTGCTGTCTCTGCCAGTCCATGAAGCTGGAAAGATTGGGGAAAGGTGATCTAGATAAATTGACGGTGTTCAGAAGCAGTGATAACAATACAGAACTCTATTAATGACACTGACCTCCAATGTTCTTATAACATTCTAGAAGCCAAATGTATATAGGTAATTGGAAACTGAAAGCTGCAATCTGTAAAGTTGTTTTTCCTGAAATCCTACTTATTCAGCATATGACGTTAGCTAGTTTTTTTTTAAAAAAAAAACAATGTTTTGATAAAAAAATAATCTGGCTATTCAATTTGTTAGAGATAGACAACACTTTAGGATAAGCAGTAAGTATGCAAAAGGGACAGGGCCCATTTGTCATGCTTAATAATAATAATACCAAATCATTCATGTTTATATTGTCTTCTACAGGAATCGGGAGGGGTAGAAAGAAAGAAATGCTAAGAAGTTCATTCAGTTTGAGATGAATCTCTTTGGAATAAAAAAAATACTGATCACCCATATGTGATCAGTAGGTAACAGGACACAAGCATAGAACATGTTATTAAGCCGTAGTGATCAAACAGTTATACAGAAAACTTGTATTCGTAACAATATTGGGGTAGAGACAAAGCTAGCCTGGGAACACTAATGGTATTAGTCTCAAGCCAAGAGAGGAAAACTGAAGGCTTAATTTTGAAGAATAGAGATACAAAAGTCATAACAAAAACCACAGAATGCAGCCATCTCTGAACAGATAGGTGAAAGGAAGGACATACTGAGATAGTGCTATAATAGAGAGCATCTTGTCACTCTAGACATTGCCAACAAATTGGCCAGAATTACTCTGACTAAAAATATCAGGTCTTGAGAATTCTTGTCATGTTAAACTTCTAGAAATAAAAGCTTTGCACTATTGAGAGTAAAAGGTACATTATTCAGGTCCTAGTAATGCTACCAATCACTTCTGCATCTCTTAAATCTCTTATCTCTGACCTGCAAATTTCTAATGACATTCTTCATCTTTTTATACTGGATCCCTTTTGGAAATTGGAAACCCAATTTCCAATAAGTGACATAAAAATGGGAGAGCAAACAGCTCAGTTTAATTTTTTTTTAAAAAAAATCTCTGAATTGTAGCCATTTCATGACTATTTCGAATAAGTGGCCTCTTATTTCTCTTTCAAATGCTTTTCAAAATGCTTTTTAAAATATAGATCATATCCATGCCATGTATTCATGTCTAAAACCGTAATAGCAGCATGCAGAGAAAATTGCTGTGACTTCCTTAACTGTAACTTCTCTCTTTAAAAGATCTGTCAAAAGCACGAAGTAGCTATGGAAGTCATGATATTTTTCACTGTATCTTGAACCTCAAATGGTTTGTAGGAAGCCCTTATGTTGTGTGAAATACTTGACAAAACCAAATTTGGAGGAGATGAATAACATAAACTGATTGTATGGCATACCTGGAAAATAAGCCAAATGCAATTTGGGACGTCTTAGGAAGTAGCAAATTAAAAATATGTTGCTTACCACTGGCGAAGGTGAAAGTGCGATATTGCCTATAGAAGCTTTCAGTTCATCAACAGTTGCTGCACTCTTAAGAGTGTCTTTAGATTGCAAAGGTTTAATCTTAATGTTGAATTTCTTGTGTGCCTCCTCTTCCTCTTCAGATTCACTTGAAGAATAAAAGTGCTTTCCTTTGGTAGGTAGATCACAGTTAAAGAAAAATGCAACCAATCTGTAGGCTACAATACAACATTATTTCAGTTTCAGGATACACCTATCAAGGCACCAGTTTTAAATGAATGGTATCATTCCAGTGGCATACAATACAATTTTAGTATAGTACAGTACATTGCATAAGTTGGAACGAAGCTCTAAACTTAGAGGGGGAAATCAGACAGTGCTAAGGAGCTCGAAAGAGCCTTGAATACGGTCCATTGTAGAGATGTCTATGGAGATTCTCAGACATCCAGGTCATAGTTGTCCCAAAGGTGCTTTTTCAAGAGACAACTTTCAGATTTTTCTTTGAAGATGTTCCACTTCCCATCCAAGAAGAAGAGAGCTGAAGAAGCTTCTTGAATGAGAAATGAAACACCTTCAAAGAAAAAACAGAAAGTCCAGTTGCCTCTTGAAAAAGCTTCCTTTTAGAGAGTTCACCATTATAGGAGCAGATGGCATCTGGAATTAGGCAATCTCTTCCCAATGGCACAATATATATCTACTGGGAATTTAGGATTAAAAATGCTGATAATATTGGAATCCTATTCTTTTTCTCTCTGTTGGATTTTTTTTTTCCCCGATATCAGAAAAGTTAGACATTGGGAAGATTATGTGACTAGGTTTGAGAAGGAGCTGGGAATTCTGGCAGGTGTAGCTAGATCATCTGCAAGCCACCTGTCTGAGCAAAGAAGTTGCAAATTAAAAATAAAGGATATAGCCTAGTTCTTCGGGTCTGATGCTGTATCCTTCTTCATCAAGTTCAGGTGAATTCTGGTATGGCAAATATAGTGAAGGAGTCAAAATATACACATTCTTTTCTTTTTCCCCTTTTATTCAAAATTTCATTAATGAGGCTTTTACTTATTCATTTTGAGAATTTATAAGGCCTCCTAATTCAAAAAAATTGCTACAACAAAAATAATCATTAACAGAAAAAAAAAATCCAGCCATATATCATTAAAAAGTAATCCGACATATAACATCTGGGCACAATCATTCATACCTTATTTGGACTGCAGCAATGAATTCTATATATGGGACTGTCCTTAAAGCTACAGCTGATCCAAAAAGTGAGAGCAAGCAGTTATGGGTTCCCCTCAATAAGTCTATGTAATACTGTTATTGTATTAGGTGCACTGGATATCAGTGGGTTTTCAGATACAATTCAAGGTGCAGTGGTTATCTCTAAAGCTCTACACAGCATAGACATTGGTGATTCGAAGGACTATCTCTCCAATTTCTGCCTATTCTACAAAATCTGAGAGAATTTACATTTTCCAAATCCCATCTATTGTGTGCTATAGAATATCCTCCCTTCCCCCACCAAAATTTAGCTGGCCCCAAATTTGCTGGTCTTTAAAGACTTGGTTCTTCTCCCTGGTACTGGGCATATGAGCCAGCTAGTATTGTAATATAAATAATATATTTTTGTTGGGCTTTATTCCTGACAGGGTGTGTATTTTATTTCTTTACCATTGTTTTTATACTGTAATTTTTTTCCCAACTCTGTTAACTATCTTGAACATGCTCTACAAGTAGATGATTATATACAGGTAGTTTTCAATTTATAATCATTCATTTTGCAACCGTTCAAAGTTACAATAGCACTGAAAAAAATGACTTATAAGCAGTCCTCAACCATCACAGCATTCCCAAGGTCATATGATAAAATTTGGGCACTTAGCACCTGGCATGTATTTACAATGGTTGCAGAGTCCAGAGGTCATATGATTGCCATTTGTGACTTTCCCAGCTGACTTTCAGCAAGCAGTCAGTGGGGGAATTTGTCTAATGACCGCATGATTTGCTTAACAGCCATAGCAAAAAAAGATACTAAAATCAGGTGTGATTCACTTAACAACTGAGAAGTTCTGATCGCAATTGTGATTGTAAGTTGAGGACCACCTGAGCATTAAATACATACTGTACCTGCATATGTGTCATTCAATTTATTAGACAGTAAACATAAAAATATTTTAATTTAAACATCTAACCTCCTAGGGGATATCTTGCAAAATAGTATTACTATATATCTACACCGTTTATGATGCATAGATATTTCTCTACCTAACAAAATAAAGAATACACATAGGAATTGAAGACATATACGATCAGAGATTAAACAAAGCTACATACTCTATCTCAGGGGTGTCAAACTAAAGACCCGGGGGCTGGATCCGGCCCACAGAGTGCTTAGATCTGGCCCTGGGCCACCCTGGAAAGAAGCAAAGGACCGGTCCATGGTGCCTCTGCCAGCAAAAACAGTTTGGGAGCCCGTTTTCGCTGGCAGAGTTCTTGGGCTACCACAGCCCCCCCCTTGAGTGACATCAAGCTGGCCACACTCACCCTGCCCACACCCACCCTGGCCATGCCCCCCTGCCCCCCGAGGTCAAGCACAACCCTGATGTGGCCCTCAATAAAATCGAGTTTGACACCCATGCTCTATCTTGACTAATTCAGCTCTGCAAATACTAAAGTAAAAACTATAAGCGTGTGCAATGTCTTTTCAAGTTAAGTTAAAACATTATCAGGCAAAATGTAAATTTCTCCTTTGAGGATGGTTTTCATATTAGCAATATGTCTGAAACTGAGCTTCCCTTCAAACTGAGCTTCCCTTCAAATGATTTGTAATATTTCTTTTGTTTCCAAATCAAATGGGCCAAGTGTTCATATTCATATGAAACATTAGATGGGGAAGACTAACAATTTATTTCCTCTTCTGTTTGTTCTGAGAGAATGCGATATTCTTTTATAGGCGTGCATCTGATAAACTGAGGGAATGGACAAGGTCTTTGGTTATTTCCAGCTTGGAAGGATAACCAGTGAGCCATGACCAGTTTGCAGTTCTCTTCGCTCAGCTCTTGGCCAGAGGGGTGAAGAAACAGTGAAGTGTTGCCTCACAAAGATATAATAAACATGACTGCACTTGTACTGGTTTGATGTCCAAATAGATCTTAAATCAGTGAACACAGCTCAAATCACCCTTGGATACCTTTTAAACTGAACTGAGTAGGGTTGGGAGACAAAAAGTTGGTTATGTGGAAAAGTTTTAAATTTCTGCTCTAGTGAAGCTAGATTTATTTATTTATTTATTTATTAAGTAATTGTCAGGAGTGAAATCCAGCAGGTTCTGATAGGTTCTGGAGAACTGGTAGTGGAAATTTTGAGAAGTTCAGAGAACAGGCAAATACCACCTCTAGCTGGCCCCAGAGTGGGATGGGAATGGAGATTTTGCAATATCCTTCCCCTGGAGTGGGATGGGAATGGGGATTTTGCAGTATCCTTCCCCTGCCACACTCACCAAGCCACATCACACCTACCGAGCCACCCCCACAGAACCAGTAATTAAAAAAATTGGATTTCACCACTGGTAAATGTGTATATTTCACATATTTCAGCTCCTTCTAGCCTTAGCTTTTGCTGGAAGGTTCAAAAAAGTAGTTGAGGTCTCACTGACCACAAATTTGGGGAAGATAATAGACTCCATTGCTATTTCTTTACTTTTCAGTGTCCCAAACAATCAGCAAAGGTTTATTAAGTTCGGGATCCTTTCAATTCGTCAGTTGGTGGAGCTTATTAGCAAGGGCAAAGATAGACATGGCTGATCTCTTCTATACATAACCTATTAGTTTCATGGGGGGGGGGAATCAGTCCTGGCCAATTGCAGGGATATATCTGGTAAGCGGATGTATCAGCAGAATACTTTACGTGCAGGTGTTGTTATTGATTTTGTGCTGACATGATAGGATGAGCTAAAAACATAATTCATAATCACTATGATACAATAATAAGCATGCAAATAAGTAACCAAGTCTCACTGGAACAATGTTTTAAAAGACTGCTGTCAACAGCAGGGTTTTTAAAATTACTATTACTTACATATCTTTCCCAGTCAATCTCTGAATAAAATCCATTTGGAGCACCATTTGTTCTCTTCTGTAATACATAGTTTAAACAATGTTTTTGTTTTTGTTGTTAAAAGAAGGGAAAAAATTAAATGCTGTAATTTCTTAGAAGACATGAAAAACTCAATATTTTCAATGGAGGAATGCCCCGACATCGATCACTCCATTACGAATAACTAAAAAGGCCATTCCAGATTCTTTACTCTGCATCTGGAGAGTACTCTGCTTTTCATTCTTGAACTCTCAACTATTCCAAAGCTGAGAGTGTAGGAATTGTAAATAAATATGATAATTTTCATTGGCAAAATAGAGTATAGCAATAGCACTTAAGACTTATATACCACTTCAAAGTGCTTTTACAGCCCTCTCTAAGCGGTTTACAGAGTCAGCATATTGCCCCCAACAATCTGGGTCCTCATTTTACCGACTTTGGAAGGATGGAAGGCTGAGTCAACCTTGAGCCTGGTGAGATTCGATCTGCAAATTGCAGGTAGCCGGAAGTCAGCAGAAGTGTCCTGCAGTATTGCATTCTAACCATTGCACCACCTCAGCTCTTATAAGTATAAGACAACTATGCAAGAGATGATAACTCAGTGGCAAAAGTCCCAGATTTAATTCCCGCCACCCTGCATCATAGGCTCATATAGCAGGTTTTTAGATGGCTTAGCCTAAGACCCTGAAGTCATTGAGAGAAAGAATGCTGAGTTATACTGTGGGATATCCAAATATAAACTGATAAATTATTGGCTCATAATACACCAGACCTAATTGTGATTGAAAAGAAGAAAGTGTGGATAATTGATGTGGCAATACTAGGGGATAGCTGGAATAGAAGACAAAGAATTGGAGAAAATCACAAAGTATAAAGATCTGAAAATTAAAATCAAAAGATTATAGCATAACTAGTGGCCCCAATTGTTATCGGCATGCCGGGTGCCATACCAGAAAATCTTGAACAACAGTTAGAAAATCTGTGCATTGACAAAATTTCCATCTGTCAATTGCAAAAGGACATACTGCTTGAATCTACACATTTACTATGCTGGTACATTATGACATGATTTCCCAATGTTGTATATATATATAAAGTATATTGTCATTGTATGTATATACACAGTATACCCATACAACGAAATTCACATAACACCCAGAGACCAAGCCCAACACACATGACAATTCCCAGACACACCCCCACCCACCAAAAATTCTCCACCCCTAAACCACCCAAGCATCCACACAGCAGACCAAGTAATGCTGTCCAACAGTATATATAACAATAATAACAATCCTAGAATATTTAAAGGTTTGTTGGCATATAATATGTATAGTTTCATTTCAAAATAATGTATTATTAACATAATATAGCCAAGGTTTTCTTTTATAAATACCATTTTAAGCCAAGCTTCATAAAACAAACATTCTGTTTTCATCTAATTTATTTGAATTATTATTACTTAATTCCCCCCCCTCCAAAAGCTTTCTATTACAAAACACTAATTAATATCTAACCATGATTAGGTACCGTATATATATGCTTTAAGGTGCTAGCCTAGAAAGAAGGAGACTGTGAGTTCAAGTCCCGCCTTAAACATGAAAGCTGGCCAGGTGACTTTGGGCCAGTCACCTCTCTACCAGCCCAACCCACCTCAAAGGTTGTTGTTCTGGGGAAAATAGGAAAAGGAAGGAGTATTAGGTATGTTCACCGCCTTGAGTTATTTATCAAAATAGTAAAGGCAGGATAAAAATCTAATAAATAAATATGAACATATATTAGAAACATGTAAGAACCATCCATGGTTGCTGCAGTGGCTATTGGCACACTGGGTGCCATACCAGAAAACCTTGAACAGAACTTAGAAAATCTGTTCATTGACAAAAATCCACTTGCCAATTACAAAGAGCTACACCACTTAGATTGTACTTTGTGTAAAAGTGAAGAGTTAGTCATCCTATCTGGAGCACCAACGGTGAAAGTACATTGAAATAAGTAACACATGAAGAATATCGAACACGTATTGGTGTATTTTAAAGACAAAACAAAACTGTTGCAGTTTCAACATTATTGTAACCAACCCACTTGAAGCTTTAAGCCAATATTCACATTCTTACCGAAACTGCTTTTCCGCCTTCCTGGGTATATTCTGGTTTGCTATTGTAGGATGGATCATGAGGATGAGGGCTGGGTGGCTGGAATGGATTTTGTTTTTTTGTAGAAAAAGGGTTAAAGTGTTTGGTGGTTTGACTTAAAAAAAAAATACATGAAACTACATGGAGTAAGCAAGCTGAAAATGCATTTTCTGAAGGAATTATTTGCCAAATTAATGTTGCTATCAGCAGACTATTTTGGAACATAGAGTACCGCTCTATTCAGCAGATGTTAGGCATTTTAAGGGAATTCAGCTGACAGCTATCATGATTTTAAAATACCATCTCATGGTCTATTAACAGAACATTAGATTGCTATGTATTTCAAAACCACACCTTCCTCCTCTCTTTTTTTTCATTGGTCAATAGCCTTTTCAATTTTGTATTTCAATGCAGTATATCTTTTCCAATAAAACTGGACAGATCAATCTTAGGAATAATTTAATTAAGCAATCATTGAACTATATAAAAGGGATGAGATCCTAAATTCATTCTGTTTGTCTGTAAGAAAAGAGGTCAATAGTATTTTGGTGTTCCGTAAATTTTGAATAGTTGTAGGAAAGAAGGTATTTTCTTAGGACTAGAAACTGTAGTCATGGATTGTATTGGGTTGTTACTCCAAGATGGGATAGAAACTATAAAAATTGAAAATTTGTTTTGTAATAATGGAGATGCCACATCCAAAAATTTGCAATTAATCCTTGAGTTTACAAAATAAACAGCTCTTCTTAGATTTAGGATTATTTACAATATCAAACTTTGAAACTAGGAACAAAATTGGGAACTTTTGGGATGGGAAATCCACTGACTGGAATATAGCCCCAATCATTTTAGTCAGAGTAAACGTGTCCCACAAAGCAAGAAAATTTCTTATACCATTTTAAGAGACATTTAACATATTTTAGAAACTATAGAATAGAAATCCCAAAGGTGCTTTTTCAAGAGGCAATTGAACTTTCTGGTTTTTCTTTGAAGACGTTTCACTTTTCATCCAAGAAGCTTCTTCAGAGCTGACAGGATAGTGGGGAATGGTGTCAGAGCTGAAGAAGCTTCTTGGATGAGAAGCGAAATGTCATCAAAGAAAAACCAGAAAGTCCAGTTGCGTCTTGAAAAAGCATCTTTGGGACAACCATGACCTGGATGACTGAGAATCTCCATAGTCACATAGAAAAGCAAGTAATGTCATTTGAAAGAATGCAAAATTATTAGATAAAAATAATCTTCAGTTTCAGGCTTCAGCAGTACTGAAACCCAGAAAAAGGACTAGATGTCACTGTCACAGACAGTGAATACACTAGACCAGGGGTGGGCAAATGTGGCTCTTTTACAACCTGTGAACTTCAACTCCCAGAATTCCTGAGACAGCTGTTCTGGGAGTTGAAGTCCACAGGTTGTAAAAGAGCCACATTTGCCCACCTCTGCACTAGACTAACTGTAGTAATGATGAAGCCAAAGACTGAAGACAGAAGGCAAACTTATAAGAAAGTTGCCTGCTTGATAAGCTCCCTTTCTCGTTTTAAAGTTTTCAGAAATATGATTTTGCTTGAAAATGGAAAGATAGGAGGAACGGAAAACTACACAAGCACATTATCAGTATGGCTGAGTCAATGCTGGTCTATGACTTTAAGGAAGATTTGATTTGATTTAAACTCTGTGAGCCAAATTCGAAGTTGTGTGGAAAAAAACATGCTTGGCTGTTAAAAATAATCCACTAACCAAGATTGCAGAAAGTGGGAAGGAAAAATAGATCAAGACAGCGAGTAATGGCAGGGAAGACTTACTCATTCCCCCTTTATTTCCACAATATAAACTGCTTGTCTCCCCAAGTTGCTAGTAAGATACGGCAAGGGCAAAACACAGATTTTAGGATATTTGTAGGATGATAACAAAGGCAAAGGACAACACATCTGTCATGACATCATCATGCAAATGATCTGGCTTCTGTATTTGCTTCAAACACTGAGATCCAAGAACACAATTATTTCATCTGTGTGACAAAGTCATGGTGGACATGCTATATGCAAAACCTATGGGCTCCACTTTCAGAATGATGTAGACAATCTGGGATGTGTTTAAAAAAGAAAGGACTGTATTTTGTTGCCTCCATGTCTAATAGCAGCTCCAGGAAAGCTACCAACTCTTTCTTGTGCTTAGATCAGTGATAGTTAAACCAGGGATAATTACCCAAATTGACAATTTGGCATATCCTGGGACAATGGAACAATTCATAATGGCTTGTTTGTGAGTTGAGGATCTGGATTGAGACAACTATTACTGAGATGCTTGTGTAAAACAATAAACCCTTTTTTTTCTGTGGGAGTAATGACTCCAACTGGTGCAGAATGTGGTTGCACGGACAGTAAATGTTGCCAGATATTTGGCACATGTAACACTACTTCCGTGTGAGCAGCACTGCTTACACTTACTGATGTGTTTCCAGGTGCAATTCAAGGTACTGTTGGATTACCTTTAAAGCCTTACATGGCTTAGGACTGGGATAGCAGAGGGATCACCTTTTTCAAGAGTTTCTTCCTGTCCAACCAGGTTGTCATTCTGCACAACGCATTCTGCACCAGTTGGAGTCATTACACACACAGAAAAAAGGCTCTATTATGAATTGTTCCATTGTTCCCAGGAAAGAGCCTTGGTACTACAGTGGTTTAAAGCACCCTGTTATTAACACAGCTGCCTGCAATTTACTGCTGGTTCAAATCTCTCCAAGGCTCAAGGTTGACTCAGCCTTCCATCCTTTCTAAGGTAGGTTAAATGAGGGCCCAGTTTGTGGGGGCAATAAGCTGACTTTGTATAAATATACAAAAGTATGAAGGCTATTGCTTAACGCACTGTAAGCCGCCCTGAGTCTCCGGAGAAGGGCGGCATATAAATCAAATTAAAAAAAAAAAAAAATGCCAAATTATAAATTTGGGTAATTATCCCTAGTTTAACCACCACTGATCTAAGAATGTCAGCTGGCAGGACCAGAACAGTGACCCTTGCTCTATAGAACATTTTTCTTTCAGAGATCAGAATGGTTCAAACCATGTTAGCTTTTCATAATACCTTAAACTTCTGGCTATGTACTGGGCCACTGACTGTGTCAAGGGTCCCATTTCCTGGCTATGTTGCTAACTAGCCATGTATAGAATAGAATAGAATAGAATAGAATAGAATAGAATAGAATAGAATAGAATAGAATAGAATAGAATAGAACAGAATAGAATAGAATTTTTTATTGGCTACTTGTGATTGGACACACAAGGAATTTGTCTTGGTGCATACATGGCAATATACTTGGTACACTGAGAGCGGGAGTGTACCAAGTATATTGCTCCTATGCATATTTCATTGGATGGGTTTAGTATTTTTATTGGTTTGACTGTTTTTATTGCTTTATTGTTGCCCAGATTTGTTGACTGAGATCAATGGCCATAAAAATTTGATTGAATGATTGATTGATTGATTGAATGAATGAATGATTGAATGAAGTTAGCCAAGACTGGGAAAAGGTGTAATTTGTCAAGCAGTTCAAGAACCACTAGTTTAAATTATCAGTACAGACTAGACTGCACTACGAATGGGACTTGAGGAATGAATCAGCTTGCAAGTTAGGAAAGTCTATGTCTTTTTTTTCTTCTTCTTCTGCTGAACAGAGCTTTGACCAAACTGTTATACATAAGTGTTCCAGGTGTGGTCTACTATTGTTTAAAAAGAAAAAGGGAAAAAAATTAAATGCAATGAGCGGAACATAAAGGGGATGCAGGATGATGTGTAGATGCCAGCTTTTTTCAACCTACGATTGCAACTACAAGCATTTCTACCCAATTCAGTTCTTTGGAAATCACTGCTATTGGGCTGAAAAGGAATTATGTTAAGGTGGGAGGATTAAGGATCTTGGGTCAGATGTTCAAAAAGTTAGGCCAGCAAAAATTGTATTAGGACCTTTCCAGAAGACAAAGCTCACTCTCAACTAACAGCAGTACTAAGAAGTGTAACTGTGAGGAAGCAGAAGATGCCTTACTTCACAGAAGACACTTTTTAAAAAAGTATCTGGAAGGCATATTACTTCTATATTAATAAAACCTTCCGAACTAAGAACTCAATTAAAAGAAACAATTTTTATAATAGATGATTACTTTTAAAAAGGAAATAAAAACATTCTTTATGTTTATCACTTCTTAAAAAGGATAAACATATGGAATTCTGTATTTCTGTATTGTGTAAGGGATTACACAAACTTTTTTAAAGAAAGAATGGAAGAAACTTTCAATCAGGAATCATAAAAGAATAGGTTGAGTATGCTGGTCATTAATGATGAGACAGATTTTATATGATTCAGTCCACAATTCAACCAATACAGCTTTCCCCGCCAAACAAGAAGGACATGCCAGCTAGGAGAACTCACATTCACCAGTGACTTAAATATGCTGGGAAAATGCTTTTTTCTGGACATCAATTGGACTTCATGAAACCAGCTTATAACCCATGTACTCGAAGTCCATTCACTGTTCAGAAAAGTATCATCTGGAAAGGCCCTTAGGATTCATAATTTCTAGATCTTCATTCTTTTTTTTAATAACATTTTTTATTAGATTATAGAATAAAATACAAAAATATGAAAGCAAATAATAGGAAATTTCTGGGTCTTCGTTCTGTTTGTGAAGATCTATTGAGCATAGTCAACAATTACCCCCATTTTTTTCTCACCAGATCAATATGAGGAAGTCTTCTGAAATCAGGAATCAATATAAAACAAAGTTAAATTTGTATCTGAGCCCAACATTCTTTATTGCAAACATAAAGTCTAATAGCCGATGTAAGTTTCTTTCTAAAATTAGTTCTAGTATGTATGAAAATCCTAAGACCATAAATGAAAGCAACAATAATTTAAGAGCAGCCCTTCTTTCTTCTTTCTATTTTCTCCAGTTGAAGAAACTGATTTTACAATTTTAAATCTTAATATAATATTTTAAACTTTTTGAAATTTGAAGAGGAGGTAAAGGGTTTAGACTGGATTCAAGTAAAATCAGAATATATTGAAATTTATTTTCTAAATTTAAAATATAGACTATTCTATATTAACTATAGAATATAGTTAATATATTCAAAGTATTAAAATAGAAATAGGGAAGAAGATTTAAGAACGCTTCAGGCATATTTTCTATTGAATACACCTAATTGAAAATAAAGGCTAATTTCAGAAAGATATATCTTTAAAACTTACAGTTCCATCTCGGTCTGGTGATCCTCTGTAATAAAATTAAAATAGGTTCTATTACTATAAAGAATCAAAAAATCTACATTAATTTAATAATCACCACTGCTGAATAAAATAGTTGCACTGAAAATGACTTTACTTCTTAAAATCATATTTTTGCTTCAAGTGTTTCTAATGAAATAGTACTATAATAAAGAATAAAGCAACAAACATACTCCCCAAAATAAAATTATTAAGCTGCACTGCTGCCTCTGTACATAAATCTCATATCATAAATAGGATTTTTCCTTACTGCCTCCTTAACCTACATTCCTCCCATTTTTAATTGGCAAAAATTATACCAACATCAATTCTGCCTCCCTCTTTTCCCAGTGGACTTCAGCTTCCAGATTCCCCTGTCAGCATAGCTACAACTGAGGATTCTGAGTTGAAATCTGCAAATGTGGAAAATGTCAACACCGGGGAAAGCTGTTCTATGCAGACATATGCTTTCCTCCGCACACATCAGTGGTGGGTTTCTACCGGTTTGCCCCAGTTTGGGCGAACTGGTAGCAGCTGCGGCAGTGGGAGGCTCCGCCCAGACGTCATTACAGATGCTCTGCGCATGTACAGAACTTTCTGCTTATGCGCTGAAGTACCTGTTGTGGTCCGCCAGCAGCCTGCGGAACTGGCAGCGGAGTCGGATAGTGATGAGGCTGAGGAAGAACATGGGCCAGTCTTGGAGACTGGGGAAGACCCAGATGAGGCCTCTGCATCAGAGGCAGAGAGGGGGCCAGGGCCATCTGGAAGTGATGTGCAGACTCCAGAGCCTCCAGAGGCTGACAGTAGAGAGGCAGAGCAACAAGAGAGCCTGTTCCTAGTGCACGTATGAGAAGAGCTGCCAGAAGGCAAGAATAGCTAAAGCAAAGAGGATGACTCAGGAGTAGGGCCAAGAGATGATTGGCCCCTCCCATAAGGCTTAAAAGACCAGCAATGGCTCTTGGGCTCTTTGTCGGAAAACAATGTTAATAGACTTGTTCTTGTCTTGCTGCACTTATCTCTTATTGGCATCTTCTGCTTCTGAACTTTTGCCAAGAGAAGCCTTTGGCAGTTTGCCTAATTATACCAAGGTTGGTGATTAGACTGAAGAATTTGTGTTATGAAGAATTTGTTTTGATTTAGTTTGGACTATGCTGAGAATGAGTTAATTTTCAGCTGTTCTAATCAAGTCTGTTTGTTTTGGAACTGCTTGCATCTAATATTACCTACTTGGGCCTGGGTCACAACAGCGCCATGCAGATCACAGTTCCGAACCGGTAGCGAAGGTAAGTGAAACCCACTACTGGCACACATTTGCATATATATGGAGGACTATGCAATTGCATGACCCCAGAGATGGATACTCACTAGTGGTGAGGTAGCATGAAAGTAGTTTACTTATTTATACAAAATGTGGTGTTTCACAGGACTCAGCAACATTCACACAACATTCAAGTGAAAAGGCCCATACATTAATAACCACCTTAATTGCTGTAGCAATAAAATAGAGCTACCAATGCAAAATTTCTACAAATTTCTGTTTCCTAGAATGCTTGGAAAAAGTTTTTCTCAATAAAAATAATTATTTTCGTCCACCTCTCTCTATAATTATTTCAGAATTGATGCTGGAGCATCACTGAAAAGACATAAAATAATCAACAATGGAATCGTATAAGGTGCTTGTTGATGTCTTGTTAATTCATCTGTTTCTAAGCTAGCTCATTAAAAATTAGACACTTCTATTTCCACTTTATTTGGTGATTCCAGAGTGCTTAGAAAAGGTCCTTTTAAATTATTCAGAATAATGCTAGCATTTAGTTTGATGTACCTACAAGGCTAGATGTCATTCATTATAAGTTCTTCCTTTTCACATTTCTGTTATTGGATTGCTGTGACTGAATTTCAGCACAGTTATGAAGTTATGAGTGTGACTGTCAGACAAACATCTGGATAATTGACAACACAAGTTGACTCATGTTTACATCTCCTATTCAGATGTGTTCCTTTCATGTATAGTCCATATTTCTTTTTAATATAATTCAACCTAATCCAATTTATTTCCTTGGCAGGATGTGATGTTATGTTGTGAGCAGGATTCCCAGGAGGGATGGGGTGTATTCCAGAGGAATAAGAGCCAGTTCAGTTCAGATGGTTTCTGTGAGAGAAAGAGTGTGAAGACAGTTGCTCCTTAATAGTTCTCAGATTATATCTTTGATGTAGATAGTAGGGTGCTCCAGTTTGGCAAGATTCTGTCTATAGGTGTGGAACAATAAAGAAATCTTCCTGGAAATCTACCACGTGTCTTTCTTGATTTTGGGAGCCTGACAGAGATATGTTAGATTACAATTTCAACAATTCTCAGTGAACGTGGCCACTGTTGGGGAATATATCAGCTAAAGGACTTTTCTTCATGGCTATATCAATATACATCCTTCCAGTCCTTGAAAAAGTATATCACAGCATAATTTGCACTGCCCTGAAATCTGAACCCTAATCTGTCTCATTAAAGCTTGTAAATTGATATATCTTGACAGGCTTACTATAAGACACTGAAGGACAATGATTGGTCAATTCAATTGGTGTTGTTTTTCAATCTAGTTAGTATTAGCAGCCATCAGGAAAGAGCATTAACTAATGCTCTCCTTTAAGTGTGACAGGCAGGCATGAGCAAATATGTGCAGTTATCAGGATGGAAACCTTGGCCATTTTTCAGATTGTGTCAATGACAGATAATTGGTGCAGAGATACTTGAGCTGTTGCTGAACATAGATCTATCATCTTCTGGAAAACTGGTTGACCTACTGTATGTCCAAAAATGGTCCAGCGTCTGACAAGTGGGACAGAGAACAGTTTATATTCTGACTATATATATATATATATATATATATATATATATATATATATATATACACATACATATATATATACACACTCAATTCACTACAAACATTCATTTAGATAATTTCCGCTGAAAGCCCTAGGTTACAATCTGTTTTAGTGATGCAGCTAGTCCACCCCAACTGTTTTATGGGTCTCCCTAATCTGATGGTAAGAAACAGCCTGTGTGCTAACACCAACTGGACATTTGATTTCTTAGCTGATTTGCCTCCTTTTTTATACACATACAAACACATACATGTTTTCTATCTTTAATCTACTGCCTCATATATTCAATAGGCAAAAAATCCAGGAGTTTCAATGCACTCAATGGGGCTCCCCCTAGTCATTTTAAGTGGATTTTATGACTAGCTGAAAGCATCTTCCTCTAGCATGTTATTAAGGAATTTAGTCAAACCAAGTCTGTGGTAGAGTTTTACCTCTTATGCGAAACTTGGCTTCACATTTTGGGTAGGACATAACAGAACTTTCCAGAACCATTGAAAACAATACTGTAGGTAATAAGCAAGAAGAATCCCAAAAGGGTTATTTCCGCCTTTGGTTTATTCCAGCATTAACCTTTGCATATACTTAACAAAGTAGAATAGAGATGGAAAGTGGGACATTGAGTGGTATTTCCTCTATTCTGCACATTTGAACAATTTAGTGGGTGGAGGTGATGCATCCAACAGATTTGATAAACAACTCCATAAATCTAATCGACAGAAATTATTTTATTTTACACATTATTCAAAAACATGATTTAAAACATGTCAAATAAACATAATTAAAGGAGAGGTACTTGATCAGCAGTAATCACAGTACTCCAAAAGATTGGTGCAGGATGATCAAAAGCATTTTCACATATGTCAAAAATGGGAAAAATCTTGTGGATTTCCTTGATCTCTCTACTTTCCTTTTTTTTTTTTTTTTAGCTTTTCTGGTATTTGCTATAAACCTTCTCAGGGGGAAAAAAAGGTGTAGGTGTGGAAAAATGTCTTCGAGAAACAGAAAGCAGCAACATACTTAAAATATTTTTCCCTTTACACATCATCCAGGAACTGTTAAGTACCGCACCATGAAAACAATTTCATTTTTAAAAACTCTTATAAACTAACAATAGAATTCTGTGATATAACTGAAAATCCAAGACAATTCTTCACGGACATCAGAAAAGCTTTCTTTTTTGAGAATTTGGCCTCTATCTTCAGTATGTCTCTATATTCACAGTGTTGAATGACTTCAATCAAACTTGCAAGCTTCATCTCTTTGGCAATTTAGATAAAATATAGTCATCCTATCTGGGAACCAGATAAATGAGCAACTGTGCTTTCATTGTTTATGTAAAACAGCCTCATTCATGAAACAGCTCTACTTACAGTATGTATTTGTGTATTTGTCTACAATTCATATTTATACGCCACCCACCCAACTAAAAAAATATTTTGAATGACAATTAAAAATAAATTCAGAATCACAAAAAGGGAAATATGGTGTATTAGATAAACAGATGAGAACAGCACCAACTAAAATAACTAAAATAATCCATGGCATAATAAAATTGCCATCAAGGGACATACTCCCAACTCAGGACCTTGGCTCAGTGTTGAAGGCACCAAGCTAGAAAGCAGGAGACCACAATTTCAAGTCCTGCCTTAGGCATGAAAGCCAACTGGAGTTCTTTGGGCCAGTCACTCTCTCTCAGCCCAACCCACCTGACAGGATTGTTGTGGGGAAAATACTGTAAGAGAAGGAAGGTATGTTAGATATGCTCACTGCCTTGAGTTTTATTTATTTATATTTATTTATTTGTATCCTCAAGGGTTCTTTGTAAAAATGATAAAGGCAGGGTACAAGTACATATATACATACTGTTCCAGAGGCCAGGAACCACGAAAGGGAAGGCATACCATTTAGATCTCATTAGAGGGCACTGTTTTAAGGGTGGGACTGGATTCAATCTAACTCTCTCTATCTTACTCTTCAGACTGTTAATTCACAGTACATACTTACGTGGAATCGGTATCCTTTTCTTTCTTCCGTATTCCAAAGGCTTTCCTTGTACGCTTTTTCAATCCTGTGGAGACAGGAGAAAAAAATAATGGACTACATCAGACAGCTTTAAATTGGGCTAAGTAATACAGTAGATCAGTGGTCCCCAAGTTTTGGGGCACCAGGCACTTGTTGTGGAGAGAGGTTTTTCCATGGACTGGAGGAGGCGGGATTTCGCATGCTGACTGCATCCCGCGGATGGGGCTTCGCTTGTTTGCGCGGCCCGGTTTTTGGCATCCCACTGCCCGGTGCCAATCCACAGGTCAGGGGTTGGAGACCCTTGCAGATGGCTTAGTGGGCAATCCAATTCAACATACTTAGAAGTTAAATCTTACTGAAGCATATAGAGAGTTGTGTTTTAAAAATAAACAGTATTGTCATATAATAAATAAAGAATTATAGAGGACTTTATATTACATAGCTCAATTAAAGCATAGAATGTAGAAGGCTTTTTTCACACAAAAGGAATTCTGATATGATTTACTATTGAGTTTTACTGGCTTAATAGACAATTACAAGTGAATGATGGCTCTGTCTAGGACTAAATTATAAATGGCAAATTCCCTCAGCAGAGTAAATAAAACTAAATATTTTAGTTTTATTTTTATAAATAAAAATGTATAACTTTATAAAAGCTTTATAACGAAAAACTTTATTTTAGTTTTATTTACTCTGCTGAGGGAATTTGCCATTTATAAAAAAAAAATCAAAAATGTATCTATAGATATATTTTTGATGTTTTTTTACAAGCTGTTTAGAAAATGCTATTTTTTTTTTATTTGATTTATATGCCGCCCTTCTCCGGAGACTTAGGGCGGCTTACAATGAGCTAAGCAATAGCCTTCATCCTTTTGTATATTTTATACAAAGTCAGCTTATTGCCCCCACAACTGGGTCCTCAATTTACCTACCTTAGAAAGGATGGAAGGCTGAGTCAACCTTGAGCGTGGCGAGATATGAACCTGCAGTAATTGCAGGCAGCTGGTCTTAATAACAGGGTGCTTTAGACCACTGTACTACCAAGGCTATTTTGGTATTCCTGTCATACTTTTCTACGTTAATAAATTCACACGTGCACACACACACACACACATATTATAAAAGCAAACAGTTTTGATTGACATTTCTTATATTTATTAAATTACATTATATTACCAAGTACATTACTTATATTTGTTAAATGCTTAAGAGAACCACATCCAAAACTTCCCCTCACAGGAGAAGAGCCAATATGGTCTAATGGTGAAGGTGCTGGCCTCAAAACTAGGACGCTGTGAGTTCTAGTCCTGCCTTAGGTGTAAAAGTCAACTAAGTGACTTTGAGCCAGGTGACTTCTCTCAGCCCAACCCACTTCACAGGATTGTTGTTGTTGTTGTTGTTGTTGGGAAAAGAAGAAGAGGAAGAATATTAGGTATGTTGTCCACCTTTAGTTATTAAGTAAATAAGTTATGTTTACTCTCTTTGGAAAAAAAAGAAAAATGAAAAAGTTCTTTTTATCAAACTGGATGAGAATAAGTAAAAAAAACTAAATACAGAAGACACTGATCTCACAACAATCTTCTACAGCTAAAAAGCTGCTTCATGGACCTGTAATTTGGTAGATTATTGTTTTTTAAACAACCTGCAGCAGATTGTTATTTTGTTATTTTCTTATAAATCTATTTAGTATTTTAACTAATAAACTGTAGGGCTATACAACTGCTATTTTTGTTTTGCACTTATCAATGTTTTAGATTTATCACCCAGGTAACAATTGTATTAACATAATAACGGAGGAGTAAATGTTATATTGTATGATTTATTCTGGTACTTGTTGGATTATTATTGTTATTTACTTGCTTCACTCTGTTTTCGTTCTTATAAATTTCTGCTGGTCACTGATCAAATAAATATTATTGATTGCTACTATCAGTACTGCCTTCATTGCAATACAATGCTGGGAACAGAAGCATTGCACCTGTCTCCACCTATTTTAGGGCTGCAAGCAATTCTATACAGTTTTCCCTGTGGTACAATCCATCTCCTTTTTTCAATCCTTGGATGAAAATAAAAACCTCCATTGAAACATCCCTACCCACATTTACATGAACATTGTATCAGCCAGAACAAAACAGCTTCTCTTAGCTTTGCAGAGCTAGCTCACAACTTGTTGCTACAGTGACACCCACCCATTTAACCTCTAGAGGCCAAACTAATGATTGTCTTGCTACACAAACACACCTTCGTTTCCTGAAAGTATCTTTAGAGAGTAGAGTCTGCACAACTGTGTTAGTTTGCTGGGGCAACAGGGGTCATCAGAAGGACAGATACATAAGGACTGAGAGTGGAAGCAATGAAAATCTGATATCCTAGGCATTGTGTAACCAGACCAGGCTACTGCAAAGATAAAACTAAAACACACATTTTGAACACTCTTTCCGTCCAACTATAGGCTACATCAGAGATTATAAGGAGTCAAATCTAAATCTGCTATGGAATTTGCTATTCATTGCAGCCAACAACAGCAGTTCTGAGTCTTTATACCTTATGTACCATGTTTCCCCGAAAAGAAGATCAGGTCTTATATTAATTTTTGCTCCAAAAGGTGCATTAGGGCTTATTTTCTGATTAGGTCTTATTTTGGGGGAAATACGGTACTAAATGCATCCATCTGGCTGACAATATTAACTGGGGCTTATTTTGGGGGTAAGGCTTATAAGCATCCTGAAAAATCATGCTAGGATTTATTTTCCGGTTGGGTCTTATTTTTGGGGAAATTGGGTAGATAATCCTCGACTTACAACCACAATAGAACCCGATGTTTCTGTTGCTAAATGAAACATTTGTTAAGTGAGCTTTGCCCCATTTTACCACCTTTCTTGCCACAGTTGTTAAGTGAATCACTACAATTGTTAAGTGAGTAACATAGTTGTTAAGTGAATCTGGCTTCCCCATTGACTTTACTTGTCAGAAGGTCACAAAAGGTGATCACATGGCCCTGGGACATTGCAACCGTCATAAATATGAGTCAGTTGCCAAGCATCTGAATTTTTATCACATGACTGTGGGGGTGCTGCAATGGTCCTAGTGTGAAAAATGGTCATAAGTTCTTTTTTTCAGTGGAGTTGTAACTCCGATCACTAAACGAACGGTTGTAAGTCAAGGACTATCTGTATAATAAAGGTATTTATAAACATACTTGTCACTACGCATATTTAGAAGGAATAACATTAACAATAATAATTACATCTAAAATATAAGGCAGCCTCATAGTTCATATGAGATACTTTAACTGCAGTTGCATGATAAATTCCTATTAGAAACCCAATATATAATAATGGTCTTTTTCTTTTACTTCCTTTCACTAAGGATACTTAAGTGACAATTCTAATTTTGCAATAGGACAAGTAGTTTAGGAAGAAAATAAATAAGAAGCCAAAAGTAAAATATATGACTAAATCAGAATATTCTAAAATAAAACGTGATTGTCTAAAAGCATATTGAAGTGCCTGTACTTCTCTGTTTTATGCAGAAGGTATTGATGTGTGAATAGGTAGAAATGCATGTTTTCTACACAGTACATTAGCATCCACAGTTAAAATTAAACAAAGTAATATAACGTATTGTAAGCCGCCCCAAGTCTCCGGAAAAGGGAGGCATATAAATCGAACCAATAAATAAATAAATAATAAATATAAACTTCCCAGTCAGCTCTGCTGGTGGGGGAATTTGCTTCATAGTACAAAGTGGAATTTTAGAAGAATCTTTCCACTAACATAATCAAGAGCTGCACTTTGTTACATAATGTTAACAGAAAGTACTAATAATATGAATTTATACACATTTTCATGTTCTGTACATTTTGAAAGATTAAATCGGAGTGAGCAGACTATGCTCTGTGTTGATTCATTAGCTTTCATAGGAATCAAAATCACTGCGTTCAATCTTTGTTTCCACTGTACAAGATGACAATATATATTGGATGCTTTTCACTCTTTGAAAATATTACTGTATATGCTGATCATTCAGCTTAGGTGTCTGAAAAAGATCAAAAAATATTTTTTTAGTGCAATCATTTCTGATTCCAAATGGCAGTCTAAGGTTATGTGCCATGCCATTCTGTCTATCAAAATAATAATGGAAAAAATATTGTAACCCCAGCGGAAAGTGTTATGGTCTTGAATGCACACTGATTATAGTTATTATCTTTGAATATTCACAGTTAACTATAAGCAGGAAACAGAAATTAATTATATTAATTCTGGAGCTTTGAACACATGTGTTCTTTCTTTTCTCCTTCATTTTTATCTACAGTGCAATTTCATTCTTCCTTAGGTTGTGTGACAAGCAACATGTTACTCTTATCATTGTTCCCTCGTTCAGGTATAATAGTAACTTTTGCTGCAAACTAGAAAGGAGAGGATGGAAAATGTAGGTATGTATAGGACCATTTACTACTATTAATTAAATATATTTTATTTTTTGTACAAGGTACTACATCAGATATTGCATATAATCCAGGTATTTAAACCATTCCCAGTATTTTCAGAACTTGAATGACACAAAATATTTTGTGTAAATTTAGTGTGAAGTCAAACAATGCTTTGTATTTTTCTGACTTCTTCAATGTATTTCGTTGTTGGGGGAAAAAGGAGAGGAGACAATTATCTTCAGAGACAGAAGAACAATTTGATTGGTTGGCATGGCAGTTTGATATGCTCATTAATATTTTACTGAACTCATTTACAAGAAAGAATTGCAGATGTCACATAGAGGGGACTAATGCTAAAATGCTTAGAAATACTGGCATGAGACAGTAGCCTTAAAAGTGAAAATACATAACTCTAAATTTAAGTTAGAATGTTGGAAACCATGGATGATGGCTAATAGTTTAAATATCAAGATCTGGAGTCATGCAGAATTGTAAGTAAACATAATGAAAACCAATTTGGTGTAATTAAGGTACCAGACTAGAAACCTGGAGACAGCACCATAGGCACAAAGCCACTTGGTTAACCTTGGGCCAATCACTCTCTCTCTCAGACC